GAGGTTTTGAAGGTAAGATTAAACAAGTACTCTCTTTAAAAGAGCAAGGGGAAAAATCTGTGCTCTCGGGATTGCCTTTCTCAGCTCTGGTAGGAAACTTAGTGTACTCGGTACACTAAGGAATGATTTTTAGAGCAACTTAAATGCTTTTTAAGTTATTTCCTTCTCTTTCCAGAAAATGGAATTTGATATAGAAGCATACTGTTTTGAGTACCAGTTTAAAAATAGGATATTTTGGTTTAGTTTAGATATTTTTTTTTTAGGTAGGCATTAGTCTCCCAAGGAAAGTACATTCTGTTTCTCTGCATGTCATCTTATGAGCATTGCGTGTTCCCTGACTGGTAAGCAGTGCTGTCTGGCACACACAATACGTTTTGACAGGTTGGCTCTTAAAATATGTATTATCTTATTCTGGAGGACATCGGCTGAGGTCTGGATCCTATATTGAAAGAACAGGAGAGAGGCAGGAATGATCTGGGGTTAACTGTGGAACGCTGCTAGAAATGGAGGGGCAGCCAAAGAGATGGGCAGCAGGGTGTGCTGCAGTGAGGGTCACAGCAAGCAGCCCCAGCAGTGAAGGTGTCAGACTGGTGTTTAGGTGAGTGAGTGAGATTATGTGAGTCTGAGAGCTGTTTCCTTTATCTGAGGGTGGTGACCAGGATCAGATCTGATCATCCTTCTAAGTTGGAGGCATTCTGACTCTTTTTCCCTGACCTCCCAGGGAGGAGAGGGAGAACAGGACACTGATTGCAGCCATTGCACAGACAAAATCAGAGAAGGAGCCCAAATAACATTTTCTTCCAGTCTTACCAAATCTCCTAGCCAAAGAAAGCATGAAATAACAACAGCTCTCAAGAAAGGCTAAATCGTTTGCCTGTACCAACAGATGTTTCTGTAAGCCATTGATTTTTAGGTTGTCCCAGCTTAAATACAGTACAGAGTTAAAAGGGTCTAAAGGGTAAAATGTATTTGGAAGAGTTTTCTCTACTTGAGAGAACTTTGTAAGCTGTTGGTGAAGCTGTAAACAAAGTTACACTAAAATATATATTGTCTTGTAGTTTAGGTTGTGTCGTTTTGCTTGTTACTGGCTGCCTGGGTTAAGAAAAGAAAATATTTTTCTTTCAGTAGCGTTCAGATCTTTTTGCTGGGTATTTTTTCTTATGTGTCTGCATTAAATAAGTCCATTTAACAAAACATGATCCTCTTATAAACATGGAATAATGACAGTATCCCACATATGGCTTTCATTAATTTTTGCATGTTTTGAAGTTGCCTTTTTTTCTCCTGAAGGCTGACTTCAGAAACAGAGATTAATGCTACATAATGGCCAAAATGACTAGCTGAGCAGTCAGCAGTTCTAACTTAGGATAGGAGGAGCTTCTCGTTAAAGTTATTTAACCTTTTCATATTAGGAAGGATATTTTTTCTGTACAGAACAGTGCTGTATAATCCACCCTCATCCCATTTATGATTACTGGTTTGCATTGATTGGACAGGCATCAGCTGATTATTTGCAAGCTTTCTTGCTTCTGAGTCTTGTAAATATTTTGGATTTTAGCCTGCTGAGAACTGTGGGACATCTCTCCCTTTTCTTCCCAAGAAAGCAAACCCAACCCCTTCCTTGCATTCAATGGGAGGAGTTTAAGGTGATCTTTTACCCTTGAGCAATCTTCCCTGTTATCTGCAGCTCCACAACCTTGGCAGCTCCTGAGATAGCCAGGCAGTAGACATCCAGATATGTGGAATGCTGTTGTTTGGCATTTTTGCCCCCACTTATCATTGTCCATTCAGTTAGGTTTATGGATTAGGTTTTGGGTTTTGGATCCATTATTCCACTTAGGAATTATACCTGCAACAAACTGCTGCAAAGGCATCATTGCAAAGCAGACAGAAGAGATGTTAGTTTATAACCCAAGAAATAAATATTATAGCATTTTTTTGTAAATGATGTCAGCAGTTGAGAAAATTCCACTCTAATGGCTATGTTTCAGCATATTTAGCTGTTAATTAAACCTATGTTTTATGTTCTGAAATGAGGGTACAGAGAACACATGCAGAGTGTAGCAGTGCTTATGGCAGTGTCTGAACAGAGCAGAGAAGGCTTTCATTCATGAGCCTGGTGAATCCTTGCCCTTGCATACCCATCTTTAGACCAGAGAGGTAAAAGTGGTGTAAAAATTAGTAAAACAGGTTTATTTCATATGGTTAACATTCTTTGCTGGGCTCTCGCACTGTTAATACATGTTTGTTTAATATTCTTTACAGAGGACTACCAGGGAAACAGATGAAACAGTGAGCAAATTAGTACTCCTGTGGTCCTAAAGCAGACCTCCCAGGCAGGAGTTGGAATCCAAATGCCTCCTCTCAACCTTTGTGTTGGATTTTGTTTCAAGTTTCCAAACACATGGGGAGAGGGTATGAAAATATTGGTCGGACGTAAGTGTAGGTTGGAGAGTGTGCTGGTGTGTCTGTTATTGCTGGGGAGAGAGGGTCCTGGCTACAGGCAGAGCATCTCACTTACCAGTCAGGTCGGAGCTCCTCCTTCCCACAAAGCAAACAAACACTGGAAGGGCAAAACAAATCCCACAGTGTCCTCTAGCCCCTGCCTGCAACAGCAGCCAAGTGAAAAACTGATCTGGAAATATGGTGGGTGCTTTTATATCAAGCACTGCTTTCCCTTCCAGACTGCAGATTGTCAAGTTACAAGATGGAAGAAAAGATAACTTTTTCCTTTTTGACAGAGTGCCCAGCCGGGACAGTACAGGGGTCGTGTGGGCTTCCTAGGGTGGCTGAATCCCAGCAACTTCAATTAAAAGGAAAAAAGAAAAAGGGAGGGAAGCTGAATCATTTTCTGGCATGATTCATTCGTTTGAATGACCTTCACTAGTTCTCAATTGGATTACAGTGGAGGCATGAAAGAATGGTAAAACTTGAATAATTTCCTCAGCTAAAGATGTGTCACTTTTATATTGTCTGTTAATTTTACTCCCTGATGCTGTACGTCACTCATTTTAGGCTTTATCCGCCAATTCATCTATGCAATCTGCTATCCTGTCCCTGATTTTAGCTCTCTTTTGATAGAAGCATCCCCAGACCTATCCTTGACCTGATCTCATTAGGGCGAGGCTCAGGCAGTGCTGCCTGCCCCTGTGCCATGCCTGCAGCAGTGGGTACTGAGCTGTTATGTGGGAAGACAATGTTTTCTACACTCTGCAAATGCAAGGCTGTCTGCTTTCCCGCACAAAACTCATCCTAACTTTCTGCTGCAAGGCTTTACTCCTTCTGGAATGTATTATTATGATATAAAGGAACATGGGTTTTTTTGGTGTGTTAGTCGATATCAAAGGTTTATCCCAGTGCTGTCAGAATGTTTTTTTTTTTTTTTAATTATGCATGGTATACAATTGAAAAATTCCTTTTCAATTTGTCAGCTTTATAGGTAATGAAACATCCCCATCTTTCCTGCATTTGGGACAAATTAACTCCCCTACAGGATGAGTTACTGGGCATTGCTTGTTTGGGTACCATGTGGATTACGCAGCCCTTTAAGTATTTAGGGGATTTATGTGCAAACCAATTTCAAGTGACTCATGTAATGCTTACAATAGCTTGAAAACTCCTATAAATACAATTCTCTACTTTAAATCTGTTTATTTACACCATTATCTTTCCAGATCCCAGAGGCTGGGATCACCAGAACCTGCACTGCTCCCAGAGCTACTAAAATGGTCAATAATCACATTCCATGTGGGGATCAAATCCTGTTTTAACTCTTCTGTTATTTGTTTACTTTCAGCTGCCTTTCAATAGGTGTTTTAGGGACTGAGCCCCTGAGCCACGCGTTCTCATTTTGGAGAGAGTTTGGCAATGGTGGGCCATGTGCTGGGCTACTAGGATGGCAGCAAAGATAATTTCTCATTGTGAGAATGTACGATTTGCACATTGGAAATGGAAAACATGAAGTGAAATTAAAGCTGAGCTGACACCATCTGACATTGTCCAAGCTCCTACAGCTTTTCAGCCAGCCATCTCCATTTGCAGTTATTTTTGGTAAAGGCAGAACTGTATGTTGTAGACTGATGTAAGATCAGCTGAGAGGTTGCTAATCTCGTGTGTGGAATGTGTTTTTCCTGTAACCATTTGGGAGCAATAAGATGGGCAGTTTGCTTCCTCTGAAAGGATGTTCAGGCATGCTCCATGGCAGGCAAAAGCCTCGGCATTTTTCTGAAGGTTGTTTGCACAATAGGAATTCCTGAGAAATGTACAGCAAGCCTCTGAGAAGTGCTAGAAAAGTGAAGGTCAGGAAATGGCTCAAGGTCTCTCAAGGTGTTTTTGTGTTTGTCATGGACAGGATCCACGTGACAAGACTGTGGGGGACCATCCTCACCCCTCTCCCTGCCACCTCTTTCTTTTGGATTCATAGGGGAGTCCAGTGTCACAGCCATCCTTTTGGGGCTGCCCACTTAAGAGGATGCTGCTCAGCTGGGCACAGGTGGGGCTTGCCACATCCATAGGGGTACACCCTAGACCAAAATATGATGCAGGTGGACAGGGTGGGCTGGTAGGGGTCAATCTCAACCCTTTTCTGTGTCTTTCAATCCTCTTGCAAGAATGAGAGATGCTTTCTTTCACTTAATCTATACTAAGGTGTGCAGCATGAGTGCCTGCTGGTGCTCAGCCTCTGCCTCTTCGCCTCCAAACCCAGTGCTGGAGCATTTGTTCTCTGCAGTGCTGACCTGCCTCCCAGACATGCAGGATGTGCCTTCCCATCCAGTTTGGACACACTCCTCTTACAGGCTTTGCAGTATTTGAGTGCAGATTTCCTTTGCCTTATTTAGTTCTGGGGGAAAAAAGGAGGCTATTTTGTCTCTCCTGGCAAGGCCAGAAATGTAGAATTTTTAAATCACTTTCCAAAAAGCTGATTTCTTTGAAGAAAAGAGCAGTTTGAATTGTAATTATTCTCTTTTGCTGTCTGACAAATTTATTATCTCCTGCATCTAGTGCCCAATAGTGGGTTTTGACTTGCTTAAGAGAGGGAGAATTCTTTCATGTGCGGCTCCGTTAGTTCCTATCAGAGCCACGGTTTAAAATGTTAATGCTCCTCGGTATTTCTGCAGATTGCATCATTTTCAGTGTTTCATAACTATATGGCAAAAGTAATTTGAAACAGATAACAATAGTGCTGTCTGTTTTAGAATAACCATGATTTCCTTGTCATTAAGAGATCTGTTAGCAGGGAGAGGAGGAGAAGTTTTATCTGGATGAGTTACAGATCATATGGTGCAATTGAGCGCTTGCTTTTTCTTTTTCTTTTTTTTTTTTTCCTTCCCTTGAAATTCACAGCACTGGACTTTGGTTTGGATATGAAACGATTGGATAGTTTCAAACTCCTGTCTGCACTGAGCAGCTCAGTGCTTCCAGATGGTTTCAATAAGCATCCCAGAAGTGTCACATCAGCAGCCGATGGCCCGGGCTGTGCGCGTCTCCTCTCCATTTTGAGTCACTTGCAGGAAGAGAGAGCAGAAGACAGAATTATTCACTTGATGGAGTTGTTTTCTTTTCATCCTTATCCTCTGATTGTCTTGTGCATTTTGTTTCTGAGCCTAAATGCAGCGTTATGTTTAAACGTGCTCGAGGCATTCAGAGGATTGCTTTAAACAGATGGGCAAAAGGGGCTGGAAGCCCTTTTTGTGCTCTGTCTGAGCTGAGCCTGCGTTCTGCATCTCCTCTGCATGCCTGTGTGTCCATAGGGTTGTGTGCAGGGCAGGATTTCTACCCTGAAACAATGCAGCAAAAGCCCCACCTAACATGGGAAGGGAGTGATGGCCTCCCAAGTGGGAGTATGTCTGGCCCATTATCTACTGTTTGTTTATATTATGATGTGGGGTTTTTGTGTGCTTTTTTCTTTTCCTCCCCCCAGCAGTCCAAGATGGGTGGAAATTAAGATGAGATGAACTTCGGGTGCTTGCAGTCGTCACTGGCCTCCTGATCTTGGCTGTGACTCAGGAACATAACCACAGAAAAAAACTCTTGGAACAAATTAGGGATTTGGAAGCTTAAAGTTGAGAAGAGAGGGGAGAGACAGGGATTTTTCTTACAGGTTTATTTGTTTTCTGTTGATCATTTCACTTTGTGGCTGAAAGCATAGAGCATCCAAGTGGATCAGTTGGCATTAACTTCCTGATCCTCGCTAGATCAGGAGGATGGCAGGTCTTCCTGAGTCACAGGCAGGGCACAGACACAAGTCCTGGGAGTCACCTGGCCAGCCCTTTCAACCTGCCTGCAATGTGCACCTGAAGTTTCTGCTCCCTGCTGCCCCATGGCAGTGTGCACTGGGTTACCTGTGGCTTTCAACCATACAAAGATGCTCTTGCCTAGCTTAGAAAAACTGTCCTCCTCTTCTTGATTTCCTACTGTGAAAGTTGCACATCTCCCAGTTCATCTCTCCACCTCCTTTGGCCAGAGACATTTCTCATTTCTCCTTACCTTTGGGAAGGGTGAGTGAATATGTGTGCAGCCACAAACGACATGGGGGTGGTGCAGCTACAGGGCTCCCCAGTCTCACATCTCCTGAAATATGCACCGTGCACTCAGTAGTGATGCTCAGTGGCAATCTCCCAGTTGTCAGAGAGGCCCTGTGATTAAAGGGTGAAGTGTATTAAAGTGAAGCACAGAGCTGTGAAGTTGTCCCTTGGGTGAATCTTGACCAGTGGATGAGAAGCCTTACATGCCAGCAGCTATCAACAGAGTGATGTGAAAACAAAGCTGAACTGCTGTATTAGTTAAAAAATATATGGGTGCTACATAACAAACAGTAGAGCATCATTAAGGCATGGTGACCGCTGCAGATTCCTTTACCTGACCTGAATTCACACGCTTTGTTTATAGGTTCCTGTCTTGTAAATTTAGATTTGAGGAAATCCCAGCCTTTTATGGTAGTGTTTGAGGGGCTGGAATGCTGTCACAGCCATTTCTGATTCCTCATCTTGATGGGCACGTGATTGCTGGGATTCATTACATGTAGAGAAAACCAGTGACTCCAGAAAATCCCCAGAGCACTACCACATTTTGTGTGTGTCCTAATACTGAAAGCAGAAGCTTTGTTTGTTACTGGGAGGAACAGAGTCATTGGCTGAGCTCTCGCGCTGGGGATGTTGGAGCAGGGGAGACCTAAGAGGAGATCCTTCCAGTTGGCTGTGGGCTGGGGAGATGAAGCTTTGGGATGTGAGGGTGAGCCTGCAGCCTTGTGAGAGCGGGGTGGGATGCCCTGCAGTGACTAGGTAAGAGCCACGTGCCGGGAGGAGGTGACACGCTGTGTCCCTGTGCTGCTTCAGCATGGAGGTCGTCTTCACCCTCTGTGCCCAGTGCTGGGCCTGGTCACTGCACTGCCGAGCAGTGAGGTAATGATGGCCCTCAGCTGGGGCATCATTATCATCCAGCTTCATTTCCTGCTGGGTCCTGAGGGCAATTAGGCTTTTGCATGATCTGACTGTACAGATCAGGGGGTGTCACACCCAGCATAGCCCAAAATAATGTTGACCATTTCTGCGAGCTCCCATTTTTCATTATTTTCCCAAAGAGGTGTGTGAGTCAGTTCCTGTAACTCACGGGCAGACTTGAGTTTGGATGGACAGAAGAGCAGATAGCACTAAAAAGTGAGGAGCTCCAGCATGGTGGGATCTCTGGATTTAGGCCTCCTCTGGATGAGTTTTCTTGCATTCATGTGCTGCAAACTCATTCTGATCCGCAGTGGGAGCATCCACCAGCTGTTGGTTAGGATGGCTTTTTGAGATCTGCAATTAAATGTTGGTTTGATAGCACTGGTTCCAACATCTGCTTCTCCTGCTTTGCAACATAAATTTAACAATCTTTGTTTCCAGCTTTCTCCCCAAACTAAAGCAGCAAGTTTCCTCAGTGCAAACTCCTGCACTCAGATCCAACCCCTGAACCTCTTCCTTTCCCTTTTTCCTCTCTTTTTCTTTTTCTTTTTTTTCTTTTAAGCCGCCCCCGTTCCCTTTTGAATCGGTGAATGAGAGAATGTCTAAAGCCAGGGAAGGATGGAAACATTTTCTCCTTGGTGAGGTCAGGGTGGGGTGGAAAGCGGAGGGGGCTGCGAGGGGGCAGTTTGAAAACAGGAAACCATGTGGCAGCATGCATGCAGGGCCCAGCTGATGTGAATGAGCTATTGAGAGGGGAGAGACTTGCTGCCTAGCCCAGCGTTAGAAAAACTGAGAAACCCTGTGTTTGCCCTTTTTTTTTTTCCCCCTCAAAGAAAAAAAGCTCTGCTTCTCAGAATAAATGAGATAAACTTGTATCTTCCTGAGTACGAGTTACTGAAATCTTTTGCTTCCTTTTTTATTTTTTTTTTGGGTGCACTGATTGAATCATAAGTTTCCATCCCCGTTTTGGGGAAGCGCTGAGCCTGAATTTGTCTGTCTGTCTGTCTGTCATCCACCTGGCCCCAGGGCAGAGGGAAACACAGCCGTCCTCCCTGTCCTCGGCTCTCCCAAAATGCGTCCTTTCACTTCTCCATCTTTGCATCGAGAAAACAGGCTGAGAGCCTGAAGCAGGAGGTGCAAGGAGCTGCTGATGGAAAGCTGCTGCTTTTTCTTCCTCCACTCCCATCTCTTTTTTTTTATTTTTTTTTTTTTCTTTCTTTCTGAGGAGATGAATCACGCTCCCACAACTGTAAAGACATTTTCAAAGCTGAGAACGCTGGTGGTGCAGTACTAAAAAGGCAAGTAGGGCCGTCCCAGCTCAGGCCAGGAGGGAGTGGCTTTATTTCATTATTTTCTTTCCTTTTGCCCCGTGCTGTCATTAGAAATTTAAACTTAACGCAAAACCGAGCCCTCCTGCCTGCTCGGCTGAACGGCGGATGGACTCAAAAGGAAGAAAACACCTTTTTTTATTGTTTCTTTCACATCTTTGTGTGCTGAAAGAAAACTCACATTGGTGACAGTATTTACTTTGGATACAGTGATCGACTTTTTTTTTTTTTCCTTTTTTTTTTTTTTCCTTCTGAATCAGACACGTCGTGGCTGAGCCTTCCTCCTGCTTTTCTCCCTTGGAGCATCAGGGTTCCTATCGCATCTGTCTGGCTTTTGTTCTCTATCAGAATTTTTATTCTGATGCTTTTTGGATATCAAAGTTGTCTGGAAAACTTTTTATCATTCTTATTCATATAACAGGAAGGCTGATCCCATTCTTAGCAGCTACAAAAGAAGTAATATTCGTATGTATAAAGCTCTCTCGATATACCTTCTGTTTTCTATAAGTTGCTGTGTTTGTATAAGCAAATCTGTTCCAAGAAGACTTTATCAACCGGTCGCAGCTCTGGGATTTTCTTTTTCCTGTTGAGAGGCTCGGAGCGGCGGGGACTTCTCTGAGCACGCGTGCGTGTGGCCAGGAGCACAGCAGACACTCTGGGGTTCATGGTGGGCTCTGCTCCCTACACTTTGCCTCTGCTCGCGGCCCTTTGGACAAAATGTACGAACGGCACAAGAGGCGGTACAGCCTGTGCGACATCTCCAAGGTGGACAGGACTGTAGATGTGGTGTTGTTAAAGGTATGGTGGTTGTTTACGTTGCTTATCCTGCTCCTTCTCTCGGTTGGGGTTCAGTTGGAGGAGCTTGCGCCCTTCAGCATGCAGATGGGTTGCAGTGGTGATGCTTGGCATGAAGTGGTTTGCTGTTATCTCAGAATTATCCATCGTAGCATGCAACCACACTTCCAGAGAATCATTCTGGCCATCTTCCCCCGGTCTTCTCTCCCCCTTAAGCGCTTCTATTGTATTTTGCAAACCTCACAAGTCACAGGTGTTTTTTCTGTGCCGTTCAGTCAAGGATTTTCATTTCCAGTGTTCATTTTTGGAGTGAAACGTGGCCACCCTCTCCTTTCCCCAAAGATAAATCCTGCTGAAAAAGGCACGGTGGATCCTCCCTTGCCTCTGTTTTTGTTTATATTTGAAAGGTGTTGTTCTTATTGTTTGGGTGTGAATTTTGTCAGAAGGTTGGTCAGAGCAAGAGCCGGGAGCAGCTCTTGGCTAATTGTCCCAGCGTTCCTTCGCTAATCTAAAATTAGCAAGCGCTCCACCAAATGGCACAGTGGCAGTCTGGGAATGTCTTCTCCCTAACAGCTTTTTGGAGCTTCAGCAGTTTCCTGGCAAAGTGGATGGAAATCGGAAAGCAGCCAGAGAGACTGCAAAACACAGCTTGCCTCTGATATCTTAACTCCTGAACGAGCGTTTCTTTCTGCCTCTCTCTTCTTCTCTCTCTGTTTCCTTTTCTTAGCAGAGGCAGTGGGTTTCTGCACCACCGTGGGGCTTCTTTTGCATGGGTTTTGCTTCATGCCCATTTTCAGGGCTAGTACAAAGGCTGAAGAGATAAATATTTTTATTTTCAGTGATCCTGGTTCTAATTCATATGCACTAGGATGGACCTAACACTTCTTAGGTTAATTAGCATTGTTTAGCTATGAAAGTTGTTCTTTTTTTTTTTTTTTTTACTTTAATTGAATGAATCCTTTGGTGTTTGTTTGGTTTTTTGTGTGTGTGTGTGACACCAAGCAGAAACAACTACAACTAGCTTTCTGTACCAACATGATCTTGTTGAGTAATGTTTGAACCTTTATCTTAATGTTAGAATCCCGTGGGATTCAATCTCTAGATAAACCTTATGAGTCATTAAGAGCTGTAGACATACTGTGCACACACTACTTGTGTCAAATCACTGCTTAATGAGACTGGGAAAAGAGGTACCCCTGACAAGTTTGGTTGCAAATATAAAAAAGACAATCTTTTTCTTCATAAAGAGTATCTGGATGCCTTGGTTGAAATGTAATTCACTATAATTATCTGACTTCAGTATTTCTGATGTCACTAGTTCCCTAAATTAGTTTTTTGTTCAGCAAAGCTTAGATTTTATAACAAAGTATGGCTCTTGTTAGTTCCCACTAGTATTTTCCTAATTGAGTTTCAAAACTGTGGGTTATGATGTCTGTTCCTGCAAATGACTCAGTGTCCATACATGTGTGCATGTGTGCACGCATTGCTGCTCTGAACATCGGCTGTAAATAGTGCGAATGTTTAAAATAGAGGGTGCCAGTGACAGCTACGTTACAAGCAGCTTAATCTTGTTATTTAGTCATTCTTATGCTTTAGCTGGTTTCTATAGCATAACCAGTAGATTAAATCGAATTTTGATGATCCAGGGATCTAAGCCAGCATTAGACTGCGTCAGTGGCAGATCATCTCTTGACGTTAATGGGAGCTGGATCAGACCCTTAACGAGAGAGCTATTTGGGGTTTGGTTTTTTTCTTTGGTTGGTTTTGTTTTAAATTAAAATACTTATCTGGGTCACCGTATTTCAGTGTGTAGGCTTTTCTTAAGTGTCAAACATTGAATAGCAAATAAATATCCTTACAGCAAAACCAAATAGAGTCTTCATTTACAGTGATTGGAATGAACCTGTAACAATATACCTGCTAAATGCTTGGCACCTTTCAGTTTGGCCTGCTGATCAGCTTGTGCAAGCTGTCTTTTCTATGGGTAGTAGGTGAATACGTTCTTTTCTTCATTTGAAGATGAGGAACTCAGTAATCATGAAATAGGAAAGAAAACCAGCTGATGGGGAAGGCAACTGGAACAAGCTGTGAACAAAGAATGTCTTTTGTCATTTTGGCTGCTGTGTGTTTATAGATGGTATTTTCATAGAACCACAGAATCATTTGAGTCGGAAGGGACCCTTGAGGCCACCTGGTCTTACTCCCCTGCATTGAGCAGGGACACCTACAGCTGATCAGGTACTCAGAGCCCCATCCAGCCTGATACATTCTCAAAAGAATTTTGGATCCTACCAACTATTTTGCAATGCATGTGCCTTCTTAAGGATTGCTATGTTGGGGCTAAAATTTTCCATGTTTAGATTGTGCCTGAAAAAGTGGTTTGTAAAGTTACAAAAAAAACCTCAGCAATTTTGAGGGCTGATGCACACAGTTATTTTTTGCTTTAAGATATGTTCCATGTCCTCCCCACACATGAGCACAAGAGGCAGTGGGTAAATCCATGTCTTAGCTTGCTGTTGAGGGTAGAATTTCATCTTTACTGTAGCTCTTTTTGCTGCTCCAGCAATGCAAACATGATGTTCTTGGTTATTGACCACAGTGGTTTGCCACTGTACAGAAAGCCCTAGTTGATGCAGAAATGGCGTAACAATTTGACATCATCTTTCCTTCTGAAATCGCATTGCAGCAGATGAAGAAGGTGTGGATTGGGTGGGATATCTGCTTGCTGAATGATTAATTGAGCCCCAGTCAGCTCCAGGCAGGGTAAAGCAGTTTGCACTGCATTATTCCTAGGCCCAAAATGGGAAGTCTCAATGGGCCCGTGTGTGAGTTGGCAGCTGTATCCCATGTGGTGCCTGCCACCACAAATAGAGCTGTCTGGGGACAGAATACAGATACCACCAGCGCTGGCACCTTGCAAGTACATGCAGTTAGAGAAGTGTCCAAGTCTGGATAACAAGGCTGTTCTTTGCAGTTAGAGAATAAGAAATTGGCTTGTTTTGAGAATGGGAGACTGAGCAATCACAACTGGAAATGTTGGTTTTTTTTTTCGTTTTTTCATTGATCCTGTCTACATGACAGCTCTGTAGGTGAAAGCTCAAGCTGTTACTGGTAAGCAGAATTGTGCTTAAGTTTTCTTCTTAAGTAGGGAAAAAAGTTTTCAGTTAGCTGCTCTTTGGATAAACAGATCTCATTGAGCTGCACCATCTTCTTTCCTGCTTTGGGGTCTGGGGCTGAGGGAAGCACTGTCCTTTGTCATTGAATTTTGTGGCCCTAAAGCAAATCTACTCTTTAATCCTGAAAACAGCATCTACCCACAGTGATTTTGTTCCTGAAGGTTCAGTATTAAGAGGTATTTATTACAATGCGGAGAACTTCATTTGTTCATGCCTCGTGTAGAACTAGAACAGGGAAGTTAGCTTAAATAATATGGAAGAGTTTTCACACAAACATTTATGTGCCCAAGGTTAATTGCTCCCATTTTTAGTCAGGACTTGTTATTTTTTTATGTAAAGCCATTGTTCTTGTATTCAAAGCTTAATTAAAGGTTGTTATTAACAGGGCTCTAATTTTGCTACTGGCGGAATATCCCCCAGTGCCAAGGGCGGAAAATGTTCTTGGGCAAGATGCTCACTTTCCATCTGGGACATTGCCAGGAAGAAAAGTGTACTCTAGGAATTCAGCATTGCTCTTACACCGCAAAGTGCTAATTTATTCAGCCATTTAATATGTCCTGTGGTTGTAGGAGCCTCTTCCTTTAGTGTGGTTCTTTTCAGCACTGTGTGCTTGTTGCTGTGAGCAAGGACCTCCACGAAAAATTGTTGTACCAATACTGGCATTCAGTAAAGGTAGAAGGTTTGATGTAGTGTATTGACTACACTAGATGATAAATAGATAATAGGAAAGTGTTGTCACTTTGTCCTTTTTGAGATAAATTGGAGGATGGTGTCTGTGTCCTTCATTCACGCTGTAAAACCTTCCAGTAAGCCTAAAGCAAGAAAATGCACAGGGAATTACAATATCTATCTATCTATCTAAAAAGGTAAGTAAATTGATATGTCCCAATGCTATCTGGAAAGGTGATTATCAAAGCATTGCTTTGAATTTTTGCTCTTGAGCTTTGTGCAGGTGCAGTTTGTTTGCATCAATGGCTGCTGAAGGGGGATGGTGGAAATCCTTTTCCAGGTGCCCCATCTCTCACACTGCTCTTCCAAGAGTTTTGCAGTTTCTTAAAAGGTGTTTGTTTTTTTTTTGAAGGGGATGAATTAGCTGTAATTCATAGTTCAGGAATTAAAAGGTAACAACGAGATTATTCTGTTACCAATGAAGCTGTAAAGTTAGAAGTTTCTTAGAAGAAACGTTGAAAAGAGTATCCTACGGGAATTTCTTTGAGGAAGGTCCCTAAAGAAAAGTTTAGATTTGCATTAAAACTTTTGAAACAGTTTTATCATTTCTGATAATGAAACAGATTAGTTATAATTGCAATTAAAGAAATAAGTTTAATTTTTGCTTTTCCAATCCTTCTATAGGTTATTCAGATCTTTCCTAATATCTGTTACTGCTCAGTATGACGCACAAGTACTTAATGATACACCAAGCAAGCTCAAATTACTCTATTAAATATTTTCCTTTATGCTAGATTGGAAAAAAAAAGAAAAAAGAAAAAAGAGAGAGAAATGGAAACTTACAAAATTAGGGCAAAGTTAAAACAATGTGGAAGGAAGATGAATCTCTAGAGATTTGCTAGGAAATGAAAGTTAAAATCGTGTTCTTTCTGCTCAGGGATGTTTGGTGCTGATTTATAGTGGTAACTGTGATGGTGACAAGTGCAAACTTTCAAAGCAGGAGAAGATTTCCTGAGAGGTCAGTGTGTTCCTGTTGTGAAATGGAAGCGCTGTCAGAAGAGTTCAGATGAAACCAGAGGGAGGAAGAAAAGGGCATTGCTATGGTTATCACCCCATCTAAATCTTCTGAGTTACAGGAAGGCCTGGCAGGTTTGGGAAGCTCCAGTGCCTGCCTTGAAGGGAAGCTCTCATATGGGGGCAGTCCTGTGTAGGAGGCTGTGAAGGGCATGACAGCTTGTCCCCAAAAGCCAGCACGGCAGAAGTGAGGAGAGGAAACTTTGAAATGTCATCTGAGGAGGAGGAGCAGATTCTGGTGGGCAGACTCTGAGAGGGCTGGAAAGGGTTAGAGAACTCCCCCAGACAGATGGGTGCGCGGGGGAAAGGAAGGAAGAGCCGGGGGAGATGCTGAATAGGAAGCAGAGGGAACAGAGGCTGGCGGTCACTAATAGCTCCCACATGATGGAGAACATCGCGGCCTGTTTGGCTCGCAGATTGTCTAGTGCTGTCCTTTTCTTATGCAAAAAGGCTTCTGTACTAAGTCACGTCGAGTTTCAAATTAAACGTCTGCGGGAAAATGTCTCTGAGATTCAGGAAATACAGGCGTGCGTGCCCAGAATGAACAGCACAACTGTCTGCTGCCTGCAGCCCCAGCTGCTGTCCTGAAGCCCTCTTTGGACATTTGGTCTGCTAGCGTTTCACAGGCACACAGAAAATCCTCCGGGATTCACTTTTTGGTGCCTGGGGACATGCTCCCATGATTCATTCAGTCTGAGCTGCAGATAAACACAGTCAGGCTTCGGCATGGAAAAATAACTGGTTCTCTCCTGGCATGCTTTCAAATGCTGCATATTGAAGCTCTGTTCCCAGGGACTATTTCTTATTGCCTTCTGCCATCTGATCACCGCATCCTCTCTGCTCGTACCACGGCGATGTGGGATGCCCAGCAGCAATAGGCTATAATCAGTGTGGGCATAGTGGAAAGCAAGGTTTTTTTTTATTGTCTTCTGTGGCCGTCAGCCTGAGGTCCTGTTGTCAAGCTCCTCTTGTGGCTGAACAAGGGCTAAGGGAAGAAGGGAGGAATAGTTTTGTTATGTGTGAGTTTCATGTGTCTGCAAAATTCCAAAGCAACCTCATTTCTGATTGTTTCGTACTAGTACATCCCCCCACCATGGTGATCAGGTGCTTTTATGATGGCATTTTCCCTGCAGCCCATGCTGTCTGCACTCTCAGTTCAACTGCTGAGGAGGGAATGCAGTACTCAGTGTTCTGCAATGTATGATGGGTTTTGTGTTTTCAGTATCTGTGGACCACCCAGTTTCCTGAGAGCCGCAGTAAACCTCCCTCAAATCCTGTCTGGTCTCTTTTTGGCATAGGGAACACTTATGTATAGTAGTGGTTTCCTTTGTTAGTGTTTTGGTGGTGATTATTATTATTCCTGAATTCGGGCTGCTGAGATAAATACTTTATAATGCTTCATTTTGTGCATATTCATGTACAGTTGAAAGAGCACCTTAAACTTCAGTGTTACTTTCTCATTACTGCTTTTTCTAGGAAAAAAAAAAAAAAAAAGCAGACATTTTCAATACTTGGCAAAGGATAGAGCTGGCTGGGTAATGGGAAAAATATTCAAATCTTTTTTGAAAAAATGCCAATGTCTATAATGCATTTTCAGGGAATGACTCAACCGGTTCTATTAAAGGAAAAAATATAACATTAATTCAGCCTAATTTAATGTGTTCTACCACAGTCAACTGGTTATAAACAGTCTTGAATCTTCTAATTCTTTGCTTGCTTTCTGATAATTATTGAATAAAGTGCTTCATTATCATTTTCCAGCAGTGCATGTTAATATAAACCAAGAGTAGTTTCCATTAATTTGATGGAGCAACATCAGTGTAAGAGTAAGAAGAATGAGACTCAGTGTGTTCAGGAAAGAGTAACGTTCAAACCATTCAGAAGGAGGCAGAATTTGATTTTATATCAAGATGGATCATTCCTTCATTTGTGTAGACTTGAGCAAATTTGCTTTTATCCCCCCATGTATGTTCAGACTCAATGTCTAGATGTGCCTTTAATTACATGTACTCCAAAGTAGGCTGTGCTCTGGCTCAAGAGAAAAGAATATTAATCTGATGTTTATTGACTTTACAGCTCTTCTAAGACTGAAAAATATGTATAGACTCTGTGGTGAAGTTTAATCGCTGAGGTTAGATATCCCTGAGTGCAACTGGTGAAATGGTGTGGGGCAGCAGAAAAGAGAGAAGATGGGTATGCATGTGTGTGCAAATGCATATGTTTGAGGAGTGGTGCAGGAAAGGACTTGAGATGTGTATGCATAGGAGAGTCTGACGGGTCTTATATTAATGTATATATGAGGATTCAATGAGCAGAGGCAGGGAGCAATTAATGGGATGAAAACCAGGCTGTGGAATACCTGGAAGCAGGGAGGGATGCCCAGGGCTGTGCACTGACTCACCTTGAGGCCTCACTCTGGTAGAGCATGAGGCCTTTGGCTCTCCTGGGAAACTCATTTTTCTCCTCTCTGACCTTCCTGAGCATGAGCTGCTGGCTGGGAAAGTTATGGCATCCTCTCTACTGGAGGATTTTACAGGTGTGTTGCATGAAGGCCTCGCAGATTGTAGCCAAGCTTGACTTGGAGCAGCACAAAGGGACTACGTGATCTGTCAAAGGCCCTTCCAACCCCATTTTGTCATCGCAGAAGTATGGAGGCGGACAAAACCTGATCAAGAAATATGTAGTGCAGAAAGCAGCCGACAGGTCTTGGGGGAGTGCTGGCTTTGCTCAATGGAGGCCCTGGAGGGAGACTCTCCATTGCAGAGCAGTGGGTGCAGGCCAGGCTGGGACAGCAATACTGTGCTCATCAGCTCATGAGAAGAGGAGGAGGAAGGTGGGTTCTTAGAGCAATGAGCCCCATCAGAAGTAGAAGGGTCCTGGGATAAGGATAAGAGTCTGGTGAGGAGGGGCAGGATGACTAAGGAAATTTGGTGACAGGTTAGAGGCAAAAAAGCAAAAATTCTGTCTGTCAGAGAAGAGGGAAAGGAAAGCCAAAGCGAGGGTAGGCGAAACATTTGTCATGTGAAGTAAGACAAGTCATCCGTTTGAGCAACTATTTAGTTAGAACATGTGAGACCCTGTGTGTTGAAGCAAGTGAGGAGCAGCCAGGCGGGAGGGGAAACAACTTCTGGGTTTGGTCTCAATGGGATTTGTGTTTGGAAAACGCGTTCATCTAGGAAGAACAGCCAAACTGCTGAAGACGAGAGAGTGAAGGGGTTTCCAGACCAGTTATAGACAAAAGCAGTGAGAAACGTGTGTTGGGTGAGCCAAGGGCCATGGATAATCCAGCAGACTTCAGGGTCAAAAAGCTGGACTAAAGAACCGAAGTGAGGAAGAGTAAAGCACAGGAAGAAGGCTGAGCACAGATCAGTCATCCCTACTGAAAGACTGGAAGTTACAGGCAGGATGAGGAGCAGGGTAAAATGATAAGGCTGATGTTGAAATAAAGCATGTGATGTTTCAGTGTTAAAATGGGATTTTCTAAAATAGTCATCACTGCAGTTAATGCAAACATGTGAAGTCAGATGTACAAAGTGCTTCTGGTCATGACCTGGATACTTCTGTAGTCCTCATTTCTACATTATCAGAGCTCCCTGCCTTCTTTAAGGTAATTATACTTGGAGCAGTGTGGGTAGTAAGAAATGACTATTCTTTAGATAGTGAACTGAGAAAGTAGGGGAGTATCTTGCCTGAAGTCCCACAACAAATGGAAGAACTGAAGCCAGGTTTCTTGAGATCTCCACTAGTAGCTTAAACTCTGGCTCATCCTTTCTCTGAACTCCTGCCTTGAGCGGGAGCCACTTCTCCATCATACTTTCCACAGAGAAACACAGTTTTTGGCGTATTGTAGTGCTTTGTTTAGCGACGCTGAAGAAAATAATGGTAAATTACTTTTGTGATTATTATTATTATAATGGAATTAAGCCATAACTATATATCCACTGGTTGATGCAGAATTAAGTTGCAGAAGAGGCTAATGGAGATGATAGCAAAAGCAGCCTTTTTTTTTTTTTTTTTTTTTTTCTAATTTGCTGTTGCCTTTTCTTTCAGATAAACCGTGAAAGCTGGTGCTCACTGGAGCCATGTCCTGACTCTTCGCTGCTGGAGCGCAAGCGGACAGGAGAATCTCCAGGTAAGCTGTGGGTTCTTGGCCAGCATGCATTCAGTAGAGCATCCCTCTTGTTCTCCTTGCTGCTCTCCTCGACTTTTCTTTCCTTTTTTTTTTTTTTTTTTTTTTGGTCATCCTAACCTCAATGGAAAAAAATATATAAGCTAAAGAAAATGTGTAACAACTCTATCATGAGTCATTGTTAGTACAGGGTTGCAGCGCTTGCAGTGAGCTGAGTGGTGTGTCACCTTCTTAACTGTGCACTTGAAATGTTTCAGTATTTCAGTTTTCTATCAGATTTTAGACGTGTGATGGAGAAAGCAGACGTTTTCTAGTCAAAATGATAATATAATAAAAGGAAAAAAGGCCAAAATTTTAAATTCTCTTAATCCATATTCAGATGAAGATTAGTGGCTTCATGGTTTTTTTTGCTTATTTATTTATTTTTTTCCTAAAAGTTCCCATGATTTCCAGACTTCAGGAAACAGAAAGGCAGTTCAGAGCCATCGTTCCCACACCCTGCCCACCAGTCCTGCATGCTGGCGGGTGCTCTCTGTCTCTTCCACAGGGACAGAAAATCTCGTCTGGCAAGTTTCAAAGAGGGCTTCGTGTCCAAGATAGGAAAAAAAAAGCATTTCCTTTTGTTGAATCATGCGTGTTCAAAACAAATACAGTAATTTACCAGTGCTCTGAATAGAGACTTTGCTTGGACTTTTCATTGAGTACTTGTTTTACTGTCATTGTGAGTAGAAATCTCACCTGAATCTCCTTCAATTTATCTGAGATGCTTGAGAGAAAAATGGGGATTGAATCACTATGGAATTGAAATTCAGAGTATGGGCTAGGAAGTGACATTTTGAGTGACTGACCTGAAGGGCTTATTCTAGCTAGATGTCCTATTGAAGTGAAAGAAGCCTCTTCTCTTCTCTTCTCTTCTCTTCTCTTCTCTTCTCTTCTCTTCTCTTCTCTTCTCTTCTCTTCTCTTCTCTTCTCTTCTCTATAATAATAAAAAATGCTGTGACTTACAGGTTAGGATGGTCATGATCAGTGAATAGCTATTTTGTAAGTGTTCTACAAGAGAGCCTGCAGTATCATCGCACTGCTTCTTTACTAATTATTTCCCTGCATCCCTTGAGTCTATGTATGATGTTTTTATGCTTTGGACTTTTTGTGCTCCATTTGGCTGCAAAATTACATGTGCTCATTTGACTTGATGAATTTATAATCATGCAGACATACGGGTCAATATTAGTTATACACTTATTATCTAATACAATAATATGCTATAGAAATATATGTAGTATACAGTCAGCTATATCTGCAGGCATAAATTAATAATTACAGTAGTACATGTCTATGACACACTGAGGCAAGTTTGAAGATGACAAGGGAAATGTGCTTTTGTCTGACTGCAACAACAGGAAGAGCTCAGGCTCTGCAAGTGCTGGCATTTCAGAAATATTGTAATGACTTCTCACATGTCCCACTGTAGTCATGCCCTGACACCTTTCTAATATGACTAATGTAAAAGTACACAACTTGAAAGGGAATGACAACTTTTTCACCAGCTGAATAGTCCTGCAGTAATCAGTTGTAAGGAGACAGTCCTCAAATCTTGGAGGAAAACTTCAGGACTTCTAGCTTCACATTTTCTGCACATACTTTGGAGATGCATTGCAGCTACTTAGCTCTCGGTGTGGAATAAGAGGGCTCAGCCCCACGTTGGAGGCTATGAGGCTTTGGAAAATGTACGTAAAGGAGTTGTTTGAAAATTTTCATCCTAGGGCTTTTTACTGTTTAACTTTTTTTCTGTATTATGTGGAGAAGTGTGTTGCCATCATGTCCTTGCTGCATGCAACTCCACAGACAAATGGATAAGTGCAGTAATGCAATAAATGAGGTGTGTGCAGTGCGATGGGGGCTGGTCCGCATGCTCCAGTGCTGTGACAGCACTGTCAGCAGGGCTTGGATGGTCATGGGTGGGAGCAACTGAGAGACAGAGGTCAGCATTGTGCAATGTGTGCGTGGTTCAAAACAGCAGAGCGAGCCCAACAAACTGAGAAAAGGGGGGGGGGGACACGCATAGATCCTCCTGAAACAACCAGGGTGAGGTAAGAGTCTTGGAGGTGAGGTAAGGACTTGGAGATGAACACCTCAGCACAGATGAGGGGAGATGTGGGGTTCCTCCACCTCTCTCTGCTCCTCCTTGCCTTCCCGGCCCTCTTCCACCCCTCACTGTCACTCTGTAGCTCCTGCCGGGCCTCTCACGCTGCTGTGATTTATCGGCTGGGCGAGGTATCCGTTCGTTGGTGCATCTGGACCGTCCCTGCTCATTTTCCACTGGAACGTGGCTCGAGCTCCTTTGTTTTTCAGTCTGGGCTTGGACAAGCTCTGCCAGCTGCCAGCTGGCCGGCCGGCTGCATCCTGGCCCGCTCCCTTACAGCCGCTCAGTCTCAACTTTGCTTTTCCCTTCTTTTTTTTTTTTTTTTTTTCCTTTCTCTCCCCTCTCCCTTATCCCCCTCGATTATGGAAAAGCAGTTCAGATTTTCCAGGTTTACTGAACGGGGAAAAGGCTGAGGGAACACTTGCTCCTTCTCCAACAAGTGCTTTTCCAGTTCTCCCCGGCGTGGAAACTCCTCAGAAGGGAGGTGATGGGGTTTCCAGCCAGCTTCACCATCCCCATGGCCCTGGGGCAGCACCTTTGCCTCCATCCCTTCCACAGGGAAGGGAAAAGAAGTGGCTTCGAGCTACCCAACCCAAACCTGTATTCCCTGTGTTGATGTGTGAGCCTGCCACAGCCAAGGATGGAGGTTATTGGCTATTATTTAAGAACAAACAAATGTTTTATTGCCCTGGCTCCTCTGAAGGAAGCTAAATGTGTTTTGGAGGCATCTTGTTTAGGTACAGTGGGTTGAAAAATAACACTTTTTTTTCTCTTAAATACTAATAATCAGCATGTATTCTTAACTGGGAGAAAAGAATGTTCAGATAATGCCAAAATTGTCATTAATACCTCTGCTTGCAGGCTGAAAAAAAGTGAAATGATATATTGGCATTATGGATGCAGGCACATAGCCCTTAAGGTTTTTGGAAGGAATGGGCTTTCTCAATGGCTGGGGTGCATTTCTGTGCTGCTCATCACCCCGCTACAAACAGCTGGAAGTATTTGAATTGGAAGGAAGAGATGCGATATGCTTAGATTTAAATGTCAGCAGTTACGAAAGCTTGTGAAATTGAAATAAGTGCCCAATTTTTCAATCTTTAAAAAGTAAAACTTGTCACAGAAGCCTTACTATTACTTTTCCAGTGGGAAATATAGAAGAAGCAATCAACTAATGGACTGATGAGCATTTCAAAAGCACCTTGGCATTTAAATGTTAGAGGAAATTAATTGTTTTTAATTGAGAAAGTTAATATTGTTGACTTAGATATTTATTGAATATAAATCTATTTTGGCAGTTGCTGCAGTCAATAGGAAAAATAATATCCTGTTATGCTCAGTGTGAGGTACTGACATGTACATATCAGTTTATTTATATGCTCATGTCTGTTTAATGCAGAGTTGTTTGTGCAATGTCCTTCAGTGGTGCATTCCTAGCCTTCAAAAAAATGAGTTTTTAACTCTTGAATAAATTAATAAAAATTTGTCGTCCTGTTTTTAAGAGGTGAACTCAATTTATAAAGCTGTGCTTGCTGTTAATTTAAACTCTTGAATTGACTGAGTGTATATGATTTGGAGGTTTGAATGCTACAGAAGGCATCAGACCATAACTTTTTCTGCTTTGTTCCCACAGAGTGTGAGAACTTCTTGGAGGATGGGCTGAGCAGTGTCTGTGCCTCATCACAGGGTGTCCTTAAAAGAGAATCTGGCAGCGAGTCTGACTTCTTCTCCTTGCCTGGTGATGGGATGGAAGATCTTGTCTTTGGAAAGGTAGGAAAGTCTGATTGGGATACGAGTAAAAAAAGTTTCAAGGCCTGATTCTATAAATTCATACTGCAACCTTATTGTTCTGACTTTGCTGCTGAGTTAGAGACCTGGAAGGGATTGTCCTGGAATGGCATAGATGGGAAGGAGCTGGTCCCCTCTTCAGATGCAGCAGTTCGAGGGGTGCATTTACATACACTGTGCAACCCCCTGATGTTGAATAGAGGAAAGCAATTTTGACTGCACAAAAATAAATCAAACATTAAATAGTTGAAAAAGCGGATTTTTTTGCAAGGTCATTAACGACTGCATGGATGGTATGGAAGCCATCTTTATCTAATGTAACAGAGAGCTTTCTCCAGCAAACATAACCTCTGCACTGACACATTCAGAATCATATACTGTAATTCTCAGAAGAACTTGTGTTTTTCTTTAAATTCAGTGCGACTCCCTTAATAGGAAGGAAACACTCATTCCAAATAGTTAAGGCCAATTCCAGGGAATAGCTTTGTTTCCAGGGCAACATACCTCTAATGCCTTTTTGCGTGCAAGCTGAAGGAAAATGTTTTCAAGTTTGCTTAAAATCAACAACAGAAGTCATTACTAACCTTAGTCATCTCTGTGCCCTTTGTGTTGCTCATGGATGAGAAGAGGAGGGAGGAGTGGGTGAAACCTGAGATACAGAACCAATCTCCTGAGCAGAGAATGCTTCACTTCAGCACTGCCCTTCTGCCATTTGCATCAGGGCTGCTCAAAGATGTTCAGGGGACAGTTGACTTTTGCCTTTTAAAAACCTTCTTGCTTGCAATTGATACTTCTGTGCTCCTTGCCATAACTAGATGATGAGAAAGCACACAGGAGATGGTGCAGAATGGACACAAGCCTCCGTTGAGCAGCCACCATGTTGGTCACAGTCTGCTTTGGTTCTGCATGGCTTTAACCAATTCAAACCTACTTCCTCAAGCAGATGCAGTTCTTGCTCCGAGAAACTAAATTTTTAGAGTAGGTTTCGCACTTGCTTGCAGAGAAATATATTTAATGAAACAAAATTCTGTTTGGTTAAATCAAATCAGATGATGGTGAATATTTTCCAGTGGGACGGGAAACACCACAGTCTGGGCTAAGTGATCTCATGTGCTATAAATGAACAGTAAAGTCATTCTTAATGCATGTGGCAGGGCACAGAGCTCACCAGCCTCACCCTTTCCCATCTTACTCTCAGAGCTGGGGGACCCTGGGTTCTGAGAATATAAAGCTTTTTGGCAGAGCAGAAGACTGTCTTCAATTTGCTTGTGTAGAACGAATTACAACAGCAGACTTTGTCATTTGAGCCTCATTTAATGGTTGTGTGGGGATGCGTGGGAGAATAGTGCTGTGAGAACACAGTACATTTTATAACGTACAGAGCTTTAGCTTTTTCCCTTTCTTTTATGTGGAAAGTTTGCTTCTCCAAATGTACGAAGCAAAAATTAAGAAGGATAGGTAGTGCAAAGTAATGGCAGTGCCACAGGGAAAAGAAAGGTGGTTGGTATTTCAATTGTCGATAAAGAAAGGGTAGAGTGAGGAAACTTTCTCTTTAGAAAAGAAACCTCCTCTTAATTTGGCAGCCAGTGCATTGTTCTCATCATTTGGTGGGTTGCAGGCTTCATCTAGAAATGGGTAAAGTTCAAAAGGTTTATAAGATTAGTTTAGGAAGTCATTCACAGCTAATCACAGCCCCAGTCAGTTGGTTTATTTGTCTCTGCTTTGCTGACTAACTCAATTCCCCATCTCCTTTCTCCAAATTTGTCTGAATACCTTTTCTAAAGTTACAGTTATTTACATAAGGACTCATTGGGTGTTGTGGGCTTGTTCCTTAGGTCAGCCTTTCTTCTAGGCTGCTGAGTACGGCCAGTGGAAATGCCAAGTTTTAAGTATTTTTAGTAACTACTGACATTATTGTTGGATTGAATCTTTTTTTTTTCTGGACAATACCGTCAGATATACTTATTGATAGCACTCAATTTGTTGTAACTATATTAAGTACTGCGATTTGCTTATTGAATTGAGAAGTTCTATCTCAAACCTTTCAGTATCATTACTGCTATTGTTACTATTGGTCCTGTTCTTGTTTTCCCCTTGTATGGAGCACCAGTTTCTCTATTAGAGTTTTGTCTTTTCTCTTAACTGCTATATACATTAAAAAAATGTTGAAGGAATGAGCTACTGTCTGTCCAGGATCTTTGGGATGCTTCCATAAAGATGAGTTGAAATCCATGGATTTTTAAGCCCTGGTTCTATCCCCAGACCATGAAAAATTAGGGTCTGTGGAGTCATGAAATCTGCAGGTGCTTTGGAGTGTCCCTGATGTGAGCTGTGGGCTCTCATCGCCGCCTCCTCACTGTCTCCTTTTTTCTCTCGGAGTGACGCATGCTGAGCTGCAAAGCATCAACTCCTGGATTGTGAAAGCTGTAGCATTAGAATCCGACTTGCTTTTTTTTTCAGACCGAAGAGGCTGTTGCAGAAATCCAAAAATCATGTCCAACATGAGGTCTCAGTTATTTATTTATTTGTTTGACGTCAGAGCTTCATTCCCACGTCTTCGTCATCTTCCTCTTCCTTCTCGGTCTCTACCCCGCCGTCTGGGCAGACTTTGCAACACTTTCTTTCTTGGATGATTAATGCTGCATGAGGTCATTTCTCACAGTCATCTGGCAACATCCTGGGGCGTAGCCCATTCGCTTTGCTCATCTTAACTTTTAACCTGCCACTGAAATTCAGCCTTACTTGGAACTCTCTCAAGGCACCCCCTTGGGAAATGGTTCACCTGCAAGGGACTTGGGAAGTCAGGGACCTGCAGCTCATTGTCAGAGAAAGGAGTTGAAGCTTAATGTTTAGTTTCTGCCTCCGTTTTGAGTTGATCAAGGAAGTACACAAATCCATAAATCTCTTTTTTGCATTTATTTTCCTGGAGTTATTGTTTCTCTCTCTAAAGCAGAAAACAAGCCCTCAGAACTAAAAGCTTGAAGAAAAAGGCTTGCAGTGGGGGAAAACTGCTCCACTCCAAATTGTAAACACAGCGGTAAATAATTTCTAGGATGCTATTACCAAGGTTAACTTTGGGTATCCTGGAGCCACTGGTAAATCTGAATTTAAAAATATTCTGCTCAATTGTGTATCAAGCCAACCAAACAATTTGACTCCCTTCATATAGTGATATGTCAAATAAAGCTCAGCATGCCAAGGTCTTATTTGTTTTTTTTTGTTGTTGTTTTTGTTAAAAAGCCATAACAGCATTAATGCCTTCATCATGTGGAAGATCAGAGAACAGAGTTAAGTTCATCTCTCAGTGTTTTGCTTGTTGTCATCAAGAAAATAATAAGAAAGAACATTACCATTTCACTTCTCATGACCTCTGATAGATTTTTTTATTTTTTTTTTTACTTGTTTCTCACTAAATACTGCTTGACAGCAAAGAATGTGTCCATTAGCATATCTGCAAACACATCAATTTTATTGTCGTAATTACAGGTTGAATGCATTGAGGTGCAATGCAGCAAGTGTAACTTGAGGAAAGTTAATATTTCTTTAACGCTTTGTTATTCTTTTAGGAAAAGAATTAGAAAACCATTTCCATTCTGCAAACAGGGTGTTTTCTGACACAAATAGGATTAAACAGCAATGCCTATTTACTGACACATGGCCAGCCAGCTTATGTTTGGCAGAGCTGACTACAATACTTAGGTGTGTCTGCCACACTTGGCATTTTCCAGACAGAGTCCTGGTCCTTCGTATTCACTATTTTCATCTGTTTCAAAAAACAGAACAGAAGACATTGTTTAAGTGAAGACAGAACAGTTTTTATAGTAAATGCATGGGCCACAAGTTCAAGGAAAGCGTTTATTGTGCTCTGTACTCTGTTGGATGCTCAAGGTAAAATTCAAACTGGGCAAATATATTGTGCAGTTTCAATCCTCTTTCTGAGCTGTGAGAGAAATTCTAAATCGTCCTTGCTAGGGAAGCAGTTTTTGTTCTGCATTTTCAACTGGAGCAGTGTTATTTTTCATCCAGGAAATAAGAATTCCTCTTTTTACTCTGGGGCAAAGATATCCTTCTATGTTTTAATGTTCTGCAATATTTTCACCAAATTTGCATCCACGTTTAATGTTTCCAAACTGTCCCATCATTCCACTGCACAGCTGGCATGTTGTCATCCCTCCTGCTGTGCTGCCCTGATGTCTTAACAGTATTTTCCTGTGTCTCAGGAAGGCAAAGCAGGCTGCTTCCTCTACTGAAGGAGTGTTATCCACATAATGACTGCTTAATTTGTCTGGATTTAAGCTAAGCTCTCATCCTGAATCACACATCTATCAAATAGTCTTGAACAATGCCAAACATGATCAAAAACGTTGCAGGGTATGCCTTTCTGTTCTCCCTTGCTTTAACCTATACTTCCTATTTAAATATGTGTCAAATCCAATAATTTAAATTTATGGTAAATTTACTATAATTTACATAAATTTGTGGCTAATGTTTGATGTTCTTTACCGATGTAATGTATGCCTCTGGGTGTATTCTTAGCGGTCATTTAATGTTTAGTGGTGAAAGCAGGGATTGTGCTGTGCCTGCTGTGTACCTCTTTTTTTTTTTTTTGATGAATGAGAGAGGGAAAGTAGTGTGACAGCATTTATTGACACCACCTTAGGAACATTATTGTCTACCTGTTGAACTGAAATAAGAATAAAAATAGCCAAAAATGAAACAGGGCTTCTCTTCACATTGTGAAATGTTGGGTCAGAATGCTTTATGAACACTGCAGTGTGTTTTTATTCAGTTTAACAGGAAGCTTTTACCTTATGCTGTATGCCAATGAGAAAGCAGTGCCTGGAGCATCTAACCATGCTGGGCTTGATGGGAGATGAGGATCCTGCTCATCTTCTCCCATGTGGGTTGTGGTGTCCATTGCCCTTCACAGAACAGGATGTTGTCTTCTGCCAAATAGACTGCAGCTCCTCGAATACTCAGCTTTTGCTGACAGCCCAGCTTGCTATTCGAGGACAATTAGCTGCTGTGGCTTTGGTGAATAGTCCATTATATATGATCTGACAGCTCATTTCTGCCTATTATTATTTCAAATGATACAGTGCAGGGCTCTGCAGGAGAATAAATTGAAACTTCCCACGTCAGTCTCTTGGGGCAAACACCATTTCAGACTGGAGGTGATGTCAGATACATGCTTGTGTTTTTGCCCTAGCCACGGGGAACACAGAATAATCATAGGCTCTTTCTAGGCTGTATTGTCAGCATGTGGCCTTTTGCCAAAGAGAACCAGTTTGGGTTCCACTTACTGCTTTTGGAGCAAAGTAAACCAAAAATTGCAGTATGAATGGAGGCCTGTAATAAAGTGTGGCTGATCCCATAGAACAGTATTTTTCAATTACAGTTGGGTTTGAAGAAATACTGCAAACCCTGGCATTAACTTTTTGCTTAATGGAAAGTAGCGGGGGTTGAAGAATCAAGTTTTTATTTTTGTGTCTGTTTCCTACAACTGAATAATTGTTCCTTTTTCACCACACGATGCAGCAGAACGGTGTGTTGTTGCCTTCAAGCTCTCATGGCTAAAAGCTGCAGACTGACCCAGGAGAGACTGGCATTGGTCATGGGGAGCCATGATGATCCAGTTTCATCTCTCTCCATCATTAACACCTGGGACATCTTTGGCAGCTTTGTGCCCCTGTGGCTGATAATAGGTTCAGCTTGAAATGGCGAGAACAAGAGTTGCTGTGTGATAACACACAGATAAAGACTCATCTTTGTTTTTCTTTCCTGCAGCAGCCTGAAGAGGAACAGTCTGCAGGAGATGTCACCAGCTCCAGCTCCTCTGCTGATGACACTGTGTCCTTGGAGAGGAACTCATCCCTGGGTAGCGACACGTCCCTGCCCTTCCCACCTGCAGTGAGCTTTGCACAGCCCAAGGACAGGCGCAGCCTGGATGGGAGCTGCACGAGCATGGTGGCTGTGGAGGGAGGAGAGGGTGAACTCTCTGGCTTGGGAGAGAAGGAAGAGGAGCTGGACAGTATCACAGACGTGCCTGCTCCTTCCTCCGTCTCAAGAAACTCCATGCGGCCACTGTCACCTTTCCGACGCCACAGCTGGGGGCCGGGGAAGAATGCCACCAATGAAACAGAAATCAATCAGAGGAGGTGAGTAGAGAGCTGCCCTGATTTGCTTTGCACCCAGTCATATGGCCTTATCTGAGCTTTGGATTGAGTCTGATGAAACAGACAATGGAGGTCACTCCTCAAAACTTTTTTTACCTCTGAAGAGTGAAAACAGCCTCCTAACATATGTATATATCTTTAATTAACTTTCAGATTGGAAGTTCTTAATACCTATAGAACACTCTAGGTTTCCATAGGACAGAAGGAATAACTCAAAGTTTATTAGAGCAAATGGAAATCAAAGAATCATGGAATCTTTTGAGTTAAAAGGTCTCGTCATTTAGTCCAACTGCCCTGCAGTGAACAGGGATGCCTACAACTGATCAGGTGCTCAGAGCCCTGTTCAGCCTGACATTGAGTCTTTCCAATGACAGGACAACCTGTGCCAGTGCCTCAGCACCCTGACTGTAAAAAAACTTCCTTAAATCCTGTCTAAATCTCCCCTCTTTTAGGTTGAAACCATTTTCTATTCTCCTATCATAACAGACCTCCAGTCTGTCCCCTTCCTTCTTACAGCCTCTCTCTAGATACCCTGGGACAGATCTTAAGTTTGAAACATCACCACCTCTTTCTATAAGAAGAGTTCTATTAAAGGAGTAACTGGAGTGTTAAATCTCATTGACTATATGAAGAGATAGAATGGGCTCTAAGGTTTAAAAAGAGGTATATGGTGGAGAGATATGTAGTCCCTTTAGGACTCCTGGTACATTGTCAAGGAATTGGTTCTACTTGATTCTCTCATGGACAGTAAGTCCCATCAAACACACCACCGTGCCTCCAAGAAAGATAATTCCTTTTCCCTTTTATTCTTCAATCCTGTATCTTAGTGGGGGAAAAAGACGAAGATGCAGACTAAGAACATAATTGCATTTCATTCATCACCATGCCCTGTGCTGCTGGCGCCGTTTGGGCTGCAGGATGACCCATGCTGAAACTAGGGAAACATGGCCATTGAGTTTCATGTATTTTAATGCAGAGCAGGAACCAGGGCATTGCTCCCAGGCTGCCTGTCCCAGCTGGGCGTCGCTGTCTAGGTGGGCAGCAGGCTTTTAAAATACATAGTGCAACACAGGATGAACAATTTCTTATTGTAATTATTATTTGCTTACTTCTGCCACCTTTTTTTGGCTCCATTCCTCATTCCCACTGTTTCAATGGATTAGGCAATACTGATACTTCAAAGCTACAGAAGAGTCAGTGTCAGGTATACATGCAGGGTTATGGCAGCATGCGTCCATAAGCTCACAAGCTCATTTAGAAAGATTTGTTTTTCAGTGCAGGACCTGTTATGTAAGGATTTGTGATGGTAATAAACTACATAGCTGGCAGTTACTGCTAACTCTTAACAGATGGGGTTAAATTCTTCTGCATCAGAGTTCAGAGGCGGTTTCTGATATGGGAAAATACACTCATTGTAAATGTAAGACTATTTCAGTAAAGGAACAGTAATTATTCTCATATGTTCCTAAATGCAGCTGCCACTACGTAAGGATATCTGTCACACAGGTCAATTAGAAAAGAAAAACTGGAAGACCTTTGCTGATAACTTGATTCCCATTTGGTTTTATGTTTTCGTTTGGAAGGAATTTGAATTACTTGTTTTTATTTTGCTTTGATTTCTTTTATTTTTTTTTTCATACATGGCAGTTGCGATGTTGAGGTTCTGGTTGCTTAGTGAGCAAAAAGAAATACCAAGGAAGTGGAGCCCAAACAAGTGGCTTCCAGACAAGGCAGTTAAATTTGGAGTGTGTGCATATTCATTTCTTTCACGTACAGTAGATACTTTTCCACTTAAAGAGTGGAAAGCCCTCACTGTAATTTGACTTCTGCAAACCTTTGAAATGAAATTATGTGAAGCATGAACCTTTGCTAAGGTTAAAGCCTGTGCTGCCCCATCCCACCCCTTGTCTGAGCAGTTTGCACTCACTAGTATGAGCTAAAAAAGAGGGAGTTGCCACCAGACCCAGTCATGGAGCACAGCTGTACTGCACAGAGGAACACTTGCAACCAAGCAGAGGGAGATGCCTTCTGGGTCCATCCCCCAGTCCCACCAGAAATAGTCCTGTCCCCAGCACAGAGCCTGCTAGGGTGGGATGCAAGAAGCCTACACACAAAGAAATCCATCTTTTGTAGGATTTGGTCTTTTCCAGTATTATGTTTTCTGTTTGCAAGTGAGATGAGGATAGAAAATTGTTCACAGAGAAGATTAGGAAAAAATTAATCGTCTTAAGTAAACTGTGAAAACATGCTTATTTCCCCTCTGCACCCCCTCTGTTTGTGGATAATCCCCATGTCTACATTTTGCTATTGAAAACACAAAGGAAGCGAACAAGGCTACCACAAAAGGATGTTCATCCTTCAGTAATTCCTGACATTCATAGCGGATTTGAAATGCCTGTCTTTCAACAATAATGCAGTGTTTTTCACATTGGTGTCTGAGGAAAGAAATGCCTGCATTTTTTACTGATGGATGAATCGCTGCAAAACTGGAGCTCTTGTTAACCATGGCTGTTAACAGCTTCTGTCGAGTGGTTTGTCCTTACCTAAACTTAAGGCTGACCCATCATGGGCAGCAGTTAAATTGAACATGGTCAATACTTGTTAAACAGATTATCTGTAATTGGAAAATGAGATGCGAGAGGATTGAAAGAGACTCATTGCTTCCTGCAGTACTTCTTTTTGTGTTTTCTCTGTACTTTCATTTCTTCTGCAGGTTGTCTATCTGGTAGCATTCCTTCAGCTGTCATTTGTTCATTTTATTCCATCCAAGTGTCTGACCACTGTCCATGATTCATTTTCAGTTCAATGCGAGTTCTGGGGGATGGTATAAAGAAGCCTCCCATTCATAGGAGAAGGTACAAAGCCAGCTAACGTGACTAACCATTTTGTGTTTAAATGTCTACTAACTCCATATGTCACCTTAGTGAACCTGGAGTCCCCACCTCTCCAAGAGCTGTGCTAGAGTAGCGCGTCCCGCTTGGCTGCTTTCCCTCTCCAACATAACCCTGAGCACAGGCTCAAGCCACTCTCTCCAGAGCTTGGAGCAGGCTCAGACATAGGCTTTGGCATGTGTCAGATTGGGATTGTATGACAATAACCATTTACCTGCAAGTACGGGCATAACTTGTTCCTAAAGCAGAAGAGCTGTGTGCCAGGACTTGCAGGAGGGGCATCTGCTGAGGAGATGCACTGAAACAAACTCAGAGATACAGGTTACTCTGCAGGTCTGCAGCTGGTTAAATTACATGCTGTTTTTTAAAACGACCTCCTGGACAAAGAGAAAATGTTTTTTTCTTTGCTTCCGTGGGTTTTCTGGTTTTCTTCTGCATAGCAGACTTTCAGTTCCTCATCCATACATACTTTCACTCACGCAACCTTTCAGCTGCCCATTAACATATGAAACAGGCCGCTTCATTTCTGACTCAGCACTTGTGTGGACTGTCCACATTTATACATCTTCAGGTTCCAGAAAAAGAGATGTTTCACCACTCCCCTTCAGCAGTTTGGCCTTTTCTGATCTTCTCCCCCCACCCCCTGCAGCCATTCCTCCTGCAGCAGGTTAACTGAGGACCTCCCATGACACGGCTGTGGTTACCTGACGTGCGTGTGAGACGTGTGTTTAAACAGACTACCAAATTTCCACATGTGGGAGAAATGTTAGGAGGGCCTCACCATGCATCAGCATAAATGAAGCCGCTTGAGCAGTGCTGTGCAGTTCAGGAGAGGGCTCTGACAGGAAAGGCACAAGAAAGAACGTGCTTTTTTACTTCTAAGAAGCCACTTTATTTGCATGACGCTGCTCTGGAGGAAGCTCTCATCTTCACAGTTCATGCAAATGAACACCTCTTTAGCAGTCACTATTAATACAGCTCCCACTATTAATACAGCTCCCACACAGGAGCCCTTGAGTCATAATATTCTGAAACTCTGAACTTAAAGAAAATGTCTCAAACAGGCAACCCAAAATGTTTAGTCAAATCTGATAATGTCCTGATGTTCTTTCATAAGCATTCTCTGTCCTCCTTTTCTGGCTTCCCAACCATTTTGGTGTTATCCTCTCTAACACCAGTTGCAGCCTGAAATTTAATTCCAGCAGATCTCACACAAGGCTGTTTTCTATAATTGCACTCCTCTTCCCCAAGTCTTTTTCTGTGAAGACTTTTTGCATGCTATGCAATGATTTTGTGCAGTTTGATGGTGTTGCCAGCAGATTGTGGGTGGTTCATCAGCAAGATTATAATTCTGGAAGACTGCTTTCCAGAGCCCTTGCCAAAAGATCTTTATTCTTCTCTGAGATCTTGCACCACTTCCTGGCTTCGTCTTACATGCATGCACGGCTCCTTCCCTCCTCTCTTCTGCCTTCCTTCCCTGCATTAGAGATTGTCACTATAACATGACATCATTCAGAAATAGAGGCATCTTTTAAAGCGCGTTATCTGGTGTAAACGTGCACATCTTTATTGAGTAAAGTTGACTATTCAATTTGTAAGCAACCATGACTTCTGCAAACAAGTCAGTGAAAGGAAGTCAGCATGAGCACAGCTCCACGGGTCCTCTTAGCCCAGCAGTCTCATGGCCACAAGCAGATGGCTTGGGAAGGCAAGAAAAGGAAAAGCATTGATGATGTCTTCCTTGAGATGCTTGCTCAGCCTTCAGCTAGTTTCGTCTGGGTGGGTTTTACTGACCCAGCTCAGAGTTGAACATAGGTCTGAAAGTGCAGACTGAGATTGATGGCGGAAAGGGGTTTGAGGGGTTTGCTGTGAACATGAGGATGTGTTTCTTTTAAGTATCTAGCCACATCCCTCATTTATACCTCCCTTTGCCATGTGGTATAGTTGAATCATGAAAAAGTACTTGAAATTATTGGTGTATGATGGGAAGGTCTTCATAAGGAGTGCTTATGGTATTGAGCTGAGAGCTTCTAGGTAAGCACCTAGAGCTTTGGGTTGCAAAGCACAGATGTATCTTCCCCCAGTTAACATCCTTAATAAAGCAAGTAGCAATTATCTGAATTCCAACACTGAATATCAACCATAAATACTTCCAAAATGTTTCCAGTGTTGTACTGTGCGTGGGAGCAATGCAAGGACTTGACATGCAACAGATGCAGTCAGTGGCTTTAAACGCTTCTTTGTGCCATCTGAGGTTCCTGACGTTTCACAAACCATGACCCAGGGACACTTACACTTGTGCTGCTCATTCTGTAGGCTCCTGGATTGGATTGGAGCATGCTCTGGCCACATCCCCTCCATGCATGGCCCACAGGGGAGGGCTGAGAGTAGGACTGGTGCAGCACTGCTTTGGCAGATCTGTGCTGATGCAAAATTTCCTTCAGACTTATGTTTCCTGGACAGCCTTTCTGGTATTTAGAGGTCTTTTATATGCCATAGCTGACAAGAAGATTGATTTCTCTGTATTTGCAAAACCTGCAATTGGCCCATGAGATTGCAGAGAAAAAATAACAAAAGCAGTATTCAAAATGACAACCAAAATATTTGCATTCTGTATTTGCATTGCTTATGTCTTTCCTGGTGCAACTTGGGATTCTTTGGGGGTATGGGATTTGAGAGGTTTTCTAGTCAAAGCACTCCTTGAAGGACCCTGATTTGAATGAATCCCAAGTTAGCAGCAAGACGAGCTTGTTTTTCCTTCCAGCCTCTTTCACTGACTTGCTGTGCAGCTTTTAAGAATGTGACTTCCCTTTCTTATTTTTCCCAAGCGTAGCCTGAAGTTATTAATTCTTGTGTGGAGGAGACTTTGCGTGATTAAATATTTGTAAGGGGCTCTTTTTCTGATTGTGGGGAGAGAGGTACCAGCAAATACTAATCATTACTAACACAATGGCTGTGTGATTACTTATGCAAAAATGACTTTGTTGTGTCTCAGCCCTGTGTTCCCAAAAGCATCTCTCCTCACTAGGAGCAGTTTCTGTTGTATGCTGGCAGGGTGGGATGGGTGTGAAGGAAGCATGGGCCGCCCCGCTACCTGTTTGGTGTGTTCTCACAGCCAGAAAAATACATTAGCAACTGCATTATTTCTGAGGGCTTTTTTTTTTGTGTGTGTTTGTTTTCATTTTAAGATATTCAGAAATGAGAGTATTTTAACACTCCCCTGTGCTGTAACAAGCCAATAATCACAGCCCTTTTCCTTTCTCTGCCTCTTTCGATGTTCCTAGTTTGAGCTGGTGTCCCTCTGGTGTGCAGTTCGCTGCCATGGGTCCTGACTTTAATTGTAGAAGGTATGGTATAAATAAATGTGCTGCAGCAGCAACCGAGTGCTGCAAAAACTGTGTTGTCAGCTTGTCATGCATTGCCTTCTCCTCTGCTGCTCTGGCTGAAGTGTGCACGTGTCTGTTTGCTTCATCTGCTTTTTCAGCCATGAGCTGTGGTAATGGGTGTCCCGAACTGGGGCATGGGTGAAGGCAGTGGCTGCTTTTTATGTTGGCTTTGGGTGTCTGGAAACCTCGCTTTTGGTTGTAACTGCTCTGCTCTGCGGTGATTTTAAGGTGTTTTTCTGCAGGCGCAGTGATTTGTGACAGCATAGAACACGTACAGCTGTTTCTATGATGTTGTGTTCTGGGCACATCTCGTGAGGAGCTTAGCTATGTGTTTGCTTTCTTCCTGCACACTGAAAGCCTCCTTCAAAGAGGCTGATCGCTTTCTGTGAAAAAGAGTCCAGTAGCCACAGATGGACATTTTCCAGGCACTCAAGATTCGCTCCTTCAGCAGGAGGCTCCAAAGTTGGAATTAATGCTTGTAGGTCAGATCTCTACCTGATGCCATGCTTTAACATAACTGGAAGCCGCTCTCACAGAGTTTACAGCCTCTGTTTTTCTCTGTCAGCTCTTGCTGGGTGTGGGTAGAGTTATTGAAAATCTCTTTCTGGAGACTAGATATTGAGAAAGAAGTTAATCTGTCCTTCAAGTTACAAAATTAATTCTGTTTCATCTACATACTAACAATTACAGAACGGTGTTACCAAATGATGGCTATTTTATGGCTGTTTTGAACAGAGTTCTTTGTGTTACAACAAACTGCATTTTTTCTGTGCTCTGTAATATTGTTATTGTTATCTTGGGATAGAAGAAAAAATGTTCCTGGGCCCTAAATAATTGGTGAGAAAGAGACTCATTTCTCTTTGCAGGTGTTTCAGAATAAGCTTTATGGTGCCTGCTATTGATACACATTGTTGAATCAAAATCTTTCTAAAGCAGATTAAATTGTAAATGCCTCATCCAGCCTTCTTTCTCATTAATCAGCATGAAAAAAGTCTTAAAAAATTCAATAAATCTTCTTCCTCAAGGCTTATAGCATTTTTGGCTTTGAAGTTGCATATTTATCAATATGGTTCTAAACGAATGCAGAAAATGAATCATTACTATGCAAGTCTATCTGAATTTAAAACTCCTCTGGTTGTTCAACAAATCTATGCAATCTGTAGCATGTTTTCCCTTTTGTACATTGGTGCTAGTTGTTTGTTGCCCGCTTTGATGTCAATAAATCGTGTTTCTTTGTGACTACTTTTTGTGGGTAGACAGAAATTGCTTTAAAATGTAATCAACCTTTATGTTACTTGCTCATTTTGATGTTATTCTGTATCCCCAAACTGGAGTACATACCTAGGCTGTATCTTGCTTCTCACCAACAGGATTTGTGCACGTGAGGTTAAACATCAGTCATGGAGGTGTGAATCTGCAAAACGTGCATATTAACCCTATATGGCAGTGGGCTTTTCAGTTTTGGCACGAGGAGCACAAGGATTAGAGGCAGAATGTGACGGCTAAGAAACATCAGATGGAAGTAGTCACGTTTTAAAAGGGAATTGTTTTGTGTAGATGAAAAGAGAGTGTATTAGCTTTATTTTCTGTAGAGGTCACCTGTCTATCAGCAGGTGCTGTTTCTACAGAGGTTGGCCAGACCTGTTATAGCTACCATGTTCTGCACATGAAAGGTTGGTGTTTTGAATATTACTGAGTGATTGTGTCTGGCTCCATTGATCAGAGCTGCTTCATCAGCAAATGATAAAGCAACACTGAGCAGCTGATGGGGAGAAAAAAACAAAAATTAAAGGAAAAACAGCTTTGGCAGAAAGACATTGTTGGTACCAAAGCTTTGTGCAGTGACAAGTGCTAAGTGTATTCAGAGGGTATGTCTGCAAAGATGAACATTACATGCAACCCAGTGCTGATTTTGTGGGAGAGTGGTGGTCCAGGACAGATAGTGTTGTGCTATACATCTTGTGTCGCACAAGGTGCTGCTGTTTCTTCTGAATATAACGTAAATATAAATCTCTCCCCTGATACCTGCACTTGTTTGTTGAGAGTAACGTGCTGAGGGATAGCATCAGCATATCTCTGAGTGGTTCAGCTAGTGACTGCTTTCTGATTTACACTCAAAAGTGTTATGTGCTGCACGACACCGGTTGCTGAGAGCTCCTCAGGATCTAACCTGCATGTTTCTCTTCAGTTACAGCCTAGAAGGCCTTGCTGGAGACTCTGGTGAGAACAAGAAGCCCTCTGCAAACATGGAGGCTGCTTCTCTGAGCTCTAAGGACCTCCCACGGAGCGCACTCACCAGCAACCAGTGCGGCTCCCTGGTCTTGCTCACTGAAGAACTTGAGCAAGGGGAAATCAGAGACTATGATCACCAGGTAAACCTGCCCAACCATTACTGCATTTCTTGGAAAGTCTGCATCTACATTTTAAAAGTCCTTTTTCAAGGTGACAGTGAAGGCTTCTACCCTGTACGTGTGATATAATTAGCCTTCAATTTGAACACAGAGGAATTGCCACTTTGTTCAGATTTGCTGCTTGGATTCTTTGGAGCAGTACAGTTGGTGGGTGACGTCCCAGAGTGGACAGAAATAAACCTTGTAGTAATTTATCTGTTAACATTTTAAGGTTAGCCAAAGTTTGTGTGTTTCTTTTCTTTCACAGACATAACTAGAATCAAAAGACACACATTATAAGCAACAGTTTAACAAAATTTTAATTGCATGTTAATTGCATTTAGCGTGATCTCTGGAGCAGAAGACTGTGATATTAAGGATAGATGGGCCAAAACATTGTGAGAGTCTCTGATTATTTTTATTAAATAAGCAATTATGCTCTTAAATACTTTAAATACCCTTTATTTCAGAGCTTGGTGTTTCAGCCATGGTTCTTTCTGGGAACCTGCCAGAATCATTAGTCAGCCCACCTCTCTACCTCGTAGAGTCACTGCTGTCTATCAAGGGCAGTAAATGAGTCTTGCAAGTTCTGACCAGTGAGAGCTGGTGTGTGAAGGCTCTTATGTCTTCTCTTGCATTGAGGAATGGCATTTTGGAGAAGTATAGTTAAGCATCAGGTTTTTTACCATGTTGAACCACAGTGTTGCTAGCATCACAGCAGTAATTTCTGTGGCTTGAGAACATCCACCTTGCAATTGCTTGCAAGAAAAGTTAGCAGCTAGTTTCTGTTCCAAAAGTAGTTGCCTTCTACTCAAAAGAAAATGTTGCATTTCAACAACTTGATGCTGCTTGCATTTTTGGTTTTTGCATTTTTTACCTGTGCCTTACACTGGGATTGTTTGAATTTCCAGAGTTTGAAAGCGAGAATTTCAGTAATTTGATCGTTTTTTTTTTTTTTTCTGTTCTGCAGATCCATCAAGCACCACACACACAAGGATTTAATTTCTGCACTTCTTCCGTTTCATCTTCACTGACCAAATCTGTGTCTTTAATGTCAATTAGTAAACCATCGCTGGACAGTGAGTAACACAATTCCTATCTCCTTCTCTCTTTTCCCATGTGTTATATCTACCTACCTTCCCAAGGCTCAATTTACTAGCACTTGCTTTTCCATTTCATGTGAAATATATATTTCACTGCAGAATGGAATTGTGCGGGGAAAGCCAGAACTTGTTCAGTTTTGATCTTTATTTTGTTATTCCCAATATATCCCTGCTGTTTCTAGTGAAGTTGCTTTCATTTGCTTCTTTCATAATTATACTACTGCTATGAAAACTGTGATGTATTGAGTTTGTAAAAAAAAAAAAAAAAAGTATGTTTGAATTTTGTACCATTTCAGAATTACTTCTTTTGATGTTGAGGTAAATTCCTCTTGGGATGTTGTTTTCCTACTTTTGAATTTTTTTTAAAGTTGCTATGTGTCGTGGTCTCCTTGGGGGAGTTTGGTGCTATTTCTTTTGTTGAGGTAATTACCTGGGGGCAGATGGGTGCCGTTTATTAAATCTCAGTCCTGAAGAAAATTGTAAATGTTGATTAGGGGAAATTTTTCAATTTAGTTTAGCCTAATTGAAGCAATAGAAAGCACTTAATTTTGCAGCTTCACTGAATTGATTCTTTCAACTGAAAAAGTCACTCAGAAGGCTCCAGCTGGATGTGCTTAGGAAGGGCCATGTTACACATGCTTTCATTTTATTAACTGCCAGCCAGAAAGTGTATTGACTTTTTACATCACATCTTGTCAATCAGTGATGATTCCTGATCTTTTCCTCTTTATTAACGTGCTTTTTCCTTGAAGCTGTGCCATACACATCTTTTTGCTGTTGCACGCAATTAGAAGTGCAGGGCAGCAGCCTGGCCCAAGGCTCATGTGCTGTGATTAGCACAATTCTGCTTCCCCAACAAAACCGAACCACCACTTTTTTTTTTTTTTTTTTTTTTGTGGTCAGTTGGCCAAGCATCTTTCCATGCAGTCAGCAGATGGGCAGGAGGTTTACATGATGGCTGTATGCCCTCAGATTAGGCATTCAGATGCATTTTGGTGCTGTGCAGCTGAGGTTAATGGCAAGTTGTTAACTCGAATGGAAACATCAGGTGCAGATGGAGCTGTGTGGAGGAACCACAAATTCTGCAAAGCTGGGCATGGAAAGGTGCTTCAAAGAAAGGCATTTTATTCATCTAGGATGTTGGAAGAAGCTCACAGAGATTGTGTTTGTAGGAGACATTTCTAAATTCTTTGCAATCATTCTTCCATGATTAATAAGCATGTGGCTTAACAGATCTGGCCTCAGCAACAGTAACCAAAACACTGGCAAATCCATCCCATGAAAAGACAAGCTCCTGCTCCATGCTGTGGCTCATCTTCTTTCCTTCTGGTGCTGGAGGCTTTCATGATTTTTTTAAAAGCAACCAATTGATTGCCATTGCACACATTTGCTAACCAAACACTATGAGTAACTTGGCCAGAAAATGCACACTCGGAGGCTGAGAGCACCTAACAGGCTGTTGCTGTTCTCCCTCTTGCTTGACACTTTCTTTCAAACTCGGAGAAGGAGGGGTATGATAGTAGAGGGTTCACAGAATGGTTGAGGTTGGAATGGAAACTCTGAATGCCACCTGGTCCGGACATCTAGGGAAGGTTGCCCAGGACCATGTCCAGGATTTGTGCCACTGCCTTGGAATAGGAGAAATTGCCACCTTGCCCCTCTTCTCTGTCAAATCACCCACATTAAAAATGTCATCGAGGCCTAAGTTGGTGGTAGACAAGTTTGGTGGTCCCACATTCCCTCTTTATGGTAAGCCTAGCCATTATGGTCTCACTGAGGTAGAAGGAAAAGAGGATATGAGATGCCTAGAGGGACTGTAGAAGAAATAGCAGGGTTAGTCTTCTGCTTTGGGTTACACATCTGTGAGTTTTGGAAGGCGGTGTTAAAAATGACCAATGCTTGTGTGCTTCACTTTTTCAATAGTTAGCTTGCAGCACCTCAGAAGAACCTCATTTTTATAGCAAGGTGGTTTCTGAAAATTGCTGTTTTGAGGTGGTTGGAGCAAGCATCCAGAAGGATTACTCAACTTGACAGAGTCTCTTCCCAACTCTGACACTTTCCTAACTTAGGAAACTTCAGTAGATTACTTTTTCAGTCACTCTGAAAAAGGAGTAGAGTTACTTAGAGTTGTGAGTACATGTTTAGCAGCTTAGTGTTTTTCATGAGAAGTTCTGGGAGTCTCAGTTCTTGTCACCTTCCTTTGAAATTTATGTTATTGCACCAGAATGCTTTTAAGCTATGCAGAATAAATCCTTCGTTTCATGGAGGTGTATCTAGGAAAATGTAATTATCTACGTTTCTACATTCCACTTGCATCATTTTTATGGTAGATGTTTTTTTAAAAAGGAATTCCCAACCCCTGCAAAAAATGTTTGAATGATAAGGGCAGCAACATGTTTTTCAGAAAAGTTTCAGAAATTAAATCCAGTCAAGTAAACAGATGGAGGATTTCTGTTATTGTTCCCATATTCTGCTCTAAGTATTGAGGCAGAAGCAGTTTCCAAGACCGAGTTTCTTACCCACACTCCATCTGATGTCTCAGATGTTCCAAGAGTTGCTGTGGCCATTCACAACTGTTAGTTTTTTAGCATTTTATGAAGGGAGGTCACAAGAGCTGTTGGCTGGAGTGCTCGGAAGACTGCTTTCAGCTTTGGAATAGCAAATTTCCAGTATGGAGCATTGTTATAAAGCCAGGAACTGCTATAAATAAAACTACTGAAATGGGAGTTGAATTGAACTGTGTGCTGGAGGAGGTTGTTCTATTTGCGGTAAAGTATTATTGTTCATCTTGACTTTTAGTCTAAATAGACAGTAGACTACAGAAGAAAGAAAGCATGGTGTTGCCTGGTCGTGTTCTTCAGATCTTGGATACCAGCTGAACTCCTCTGAGAGGCAGCCTAAACAAAATAAATGCCTGAGTCTTTTCAGAAGTTCTGCACTTTAAATGCCTTTCACTGGGTTCCAGTTTAGAATTGCTCTGCTTCATTTGAAGAAGTGTGCACTTGAGTTGAAGAAGCACGTATGTAATTTGAGTCAAACCCTTTTGGTTAATGGCATTTACGACTAATGGCTGAAGGAAATTTTCAGGGCAGTTAGCTTTGCATTGATAGCATTGCATGGATATTCCTTGGATAATATTGTCATATTCTGAATTCAGTTTTGGTGTATGATATCAGCAACACAAAAAATTCTTACTGTTTTATTATTTTAAATTCTTATTTTTATTTGCTGAATAATATTATTGGCTGAAACGCCCTTCCCCTTCAAGGTGTATCACTTACATGACCAGAGGACAGATGCTCTCGTAGTGTTGGAGTGATGGATGTTCAGCAGGCTGGTTCTTGTCAGATCACAGCACAGAGGTTTCCACCTGTGATCGTATGATGGGAAGTTTTAGGAAGTACAGCTCTGTTATCTCCATGAGAAGTGGTGTAGCAATACCGGTGAAAAGAGAGGCCAGCTGGCTCCTACATCCCTTTTCAGAGAAACCTGTACTTACAAAGAATTTTTGTAAGGCTGATGCTGTGTGAGCTCTGCTCTTAAATTTTTTTCAACAGGAATTGCAGTAAACCATCCTAATTTACTAAAGTTTTCAGCCATGGCCATAAACAAATAGCAGCAATTCCCTGAAAAGTGTGCATAACAGTAGAAAAATATAACTTCAGAAACTGAAATAAGCAGAAGGCAGAAAGTACTTGAAAAAATACATTTGAACTCATTTGTGTTATCTTTCTGATGATGAGAGATTTAGCCTGTATTTGGTAGACTCCTAGGCTAGGGCTGAGCAGGGTGCAGAGGGGCTTTTCTCAAGTTTAGGCATTTTCTTTTAAACGAGATAATGAGTTTTACAAGAAGACAGTAGAAGAGGTGGTTGTTTTTTTCTGTTTTATGTTGGAGAAGAAAGTAAAGAATATTTTGGGCTCTTAGTTTTAAAGCTGAAAGCTTTGAAGGACATAACATTACTGGAATGTTGTGTTTTTTAAGAAATGGAAACAGGGAGAACTTCTCCAGGTAGATTAAGTTGACTTTTCAGATAAAGTATCCTTGCTATATCTGACAGCTGTGGTGTGTCATTTAACTGCAGAACGCATCATAAAACTGATATCTTGTGTTGTTTTAGTTTAATTCCCTGGCAGTTATTTCAGTGAGGCAGATAACCTTTCTCCATTATGAGTTCCTGTAAATGTATGTCAGCAAAATGTAAGGAAAGCCTTGAATGTTGCATTGTGCATGCAGTAAGACCTGCATCCTCTGAAACCTGCACCCTCTGCAATTCACGCATTCTCAGTTCTTTGTTTCTTGTGCCTCTTCTGAAGCCAGATGCTTTGCAGACATTTCCTTTGCTTTGTTTCTAGTTTGCTTTGGCTGCTTTCCTCTCCTTTTTATTATTAAATACATTTTCAAGCATGCTCTAATGTCTGCTGTTAACCCACTTCTCAGCCCAGGGCCGGACTCGACCATCGAGACGAATCTCCTTCTCCTTCAGCATCTCTCCACTCATTCCTAAGTCTAAAACTCTCTTTTCTATTGGCTCTTCTTCCAGTGATGAGGAGGAGGAGTTGGATAGTAAGTAATCGTTTTCTGTGCATTGCAGCCATTATGGGTCTAAACAAAGGGAAATCTGTTTTTCTGCTTCAGATTTTTAAGTTTCACTTTGCAAACACTAAACTAACTTTTCTGTCGCATGAGATCTAACAGCATTATTTTAGTCCTGTATCTGAATGCTAACTAATGGCAGAATAAAAGGTTTATAATGCAGAGAGTCTTGTACACCAGCATTGCTGAATCTCATCCAGTTAGTTTTGGTCTGTATCCATTTGGTGAAGTTACCACCAGTCACTTTAATTTGCAGTGTCGTCATTACTTTTTTATAAAAAACAAAGTGCTTGTCTTGAGATTGTTGCAGCACGTGGAGTTAAGAGGAGGAACAGAACCTCTGTATGCAAGAAATGACTACATTGCTTGGTGGGAACAGGAAAAGAAAGAAACCCTGATACTAAATTCAGAAAATCCTGGTTACAGCTCTACAGTTGCCCTACTGAATACAATGCAAGCCAAACGCCTAAGATCATCAAGGTGTTTGTATTAGGTCCCGATTTTAAAATTGGAATAATTTTGTCAGGAAGCTGTGAAGTGCTACGTGTGGTAGTTTTTCTTCCTGCTGCAGACTTCTTTGTTGAAAGTAAATCCAACTGAGGCAGAAGCTTAAATTAGTCATTTACCCTCCTCCTCTTTTTCCTCTTTAGTTTTTTCTTAAGTAGACATAACAAAAATATTGAAGGTGCTTCCTCTTTCTTAAACATGTTTTGTATTATTAGACTACTGAAATAAACAGAATGAATAACTCTCTATCTATAGAGGTAATTCAGAACTGGCTTCATCAGCTGGTTCTAATATGAGCTTCCATCCCTTGTATCCACAGTGGGAGGGGAGAAATTCCTTTCCAGTCCAACAGATTTTGGTCAGTTTTTGAACTGAGACCACTCAGTTTTTGAACTCCATCCACTCCAAATACCTGCTGCATGTGTACAAGTTTTCCTCCTTTCCATTGCCAGTCTTCACTGTGGATTTGTCCCTTGCTATAAGTTCTCTACTCTTCTTGGGTGTCATACCACCCATGTCATTATTTAAGCTCTCTCCTCCTCTCCTTTTGCTCTGTGCTCTCTTTAACAAAACTCACAATTCGTGGTCCTCACAATGGCAGGGGTGCCATGGTAAAAAATAAAAATAATAATAAAAAAATTCTAAGCTAAACTTTTTGATGTATTTCTTTTTAAGCATCCAAGCTCTGAAGTAATTCCTAGCAGTTGGGTGAGGGTACAGCAATTTTTAAGGGTATTTCTATTAGCCAGTATTTATCTTTGCTCCCTTAACTGTACTGCTGTTACTGACAGGTATTTGAAGTAAGGTCATATATTGTCTCCCACAAAAATGTTGTTTCCTTCACATGTGTTATTCCCTCATATTTGAGAGTAGTGTTGTGACTTTATATAAAGGTTGGTTTAGCTACAGGTAACAAGGTCCACTTGGAAATGGAAGTTTTTCATATAAAAATCCCAGAGATACCTATTTCTTTCTTCACATCTTCAGGGTTCATAGAGGATGGATGTGTTGGTGTCATCAAGTATATAAAACATGGTTTTCAGATGGCTGGACAAGCCAGACTGCATTTGCAAAAATGTTTAATCGTTGTGACGAAGCCTTTGGATTTCTTGGCCCAGCGAAGCTGAATTACTGCCTGCACCAAGGGTTTACAGTATGCTAGTCCTATTGCTGCTTTCTGCATAATGGACCGTGAGTGATTATTTCAGTTCCAGCCACCACGTGAAGTAATTTTGAATAGTTATGCTTAAAAGATGTTTAGATAAGTACACCAAAGTTTGGCTGCTGACACAGCAATGGACAGTAGCAATCCTGACCTTAAAAAAAAAAAAAAAAAAAAAAAGTACTAGCTTCTTCTGTGGGCCATGAAATCATTTTTGGCATTTCAGTTTTGTACCTGGCCATGACAGGAAATGCTCGTGCTGAATCTGGGAGCGTGTCCTTTTTTTATGCTCATCTTCATGGGCTATGGGCTATATACCTTGCAGCAGAATATTGATTTTATGATGCTAAACTGTAACCTAAAACCTAAACTGTGAAATCATAAACAGGCCTTCACCTCGTTTTTTTTGTCTGGATACATTTTGCCTGTCAAGAGTCTCCCATTTGTAAGACAAAATACTACTGCAGTAAAAGATAAATAGAACGTAATTGAAGTTCCCACGCAATGTACTTTCTCAAGGTGCTGAAAAACAGTCATGAATATCAAATCTTTATAGCTCTTGATTCAGTGTTCCTCTGCATTTGTTACGTTAACTGCAAAGAAACAGAAAGATTTGTGAGATAATGAATCCAGTCCAACTGAGTAAGCTGTTATAAAAAGGAAAGAGTGGGGAGGCTTGACCCATGTGAAAAAAAGCAGAGCTGGAACAAACCAGAGTCTCTGGGGGTCTCAGCAAGGATGGAGGCTGGGAATAACTTGTGTGATCCTAGGAGACGATTAGGCAGTACACTAGTATACCAAGTACCAAAAAAACCCTCTGTAATCAGGAAATGGAAGTGGGACTTCATTCGGTATGCCTTATGGTATTACTCAGATTTTTTTTGATAGCTTACTAGTTAAAGGGAAGATTTTGCAGGTGAGATCCTGAGAGATCTCCAAGCAGGGATTAGGTTTTGCCAGTGTTTTAGTTTACCCAAATAAAGAAGTGATACTTCTATCTCACCCAGGGCTGATACAATCAGCAATTAGGAAAGTGTGTGGTTTAGAATCATAAGGCATAATGTTGTATGCACAGTTTTCCCTAATGCACTTTTGGATACAGGACCATCTTTGCTTCTTAAGTGAAGTGCCTTTTTGTGTGCATCAGTAGCTTTAATGCGTTAACAGAATTTGTTAATTTGAAGTCAGAAGACTGCTTTTCTTACAGTACGTGTGCAGAAGCCCAGCAAGATGGTCAGTCACACTTCTTGCACTTTAGATGTGACTGCAAGTGGTCCTTGCAGTGAGCTGGGGGCTTTTGGAGTCCTGACAACCAGAGGGATTCTTCTCCCCTCTAGATCATTTCATCACCATTTTTCAGTGTTCTTCCATTTTTCTGGTAAATGGTATCAGCTACCTAATCTGCCCTGCAAGCGTTGTGCAAGCAGGTTTCTTGTGATATACGGAGAAGTCGTGTCAGTGGCAGAGCTTCAGCAGTGTGTCACAAGTCAGCCTTCATTCAGCTCAGTGCTGTGGGGCTGAGCTCTATCCTAGCAGTGCACTGGGGAAAATGGAATAAGGCTTCCCTTGTTTCCTTTATGAAGCGTTTCAGGATTTTGATGGGAAAATGAACTATAATTTTATCAGGGAGAAGAGTTTTGTACGTGAAACCCAGATGCGTTGCACAATAGATTCTTTCTAGTGATGTGTCAATGAAAGTATTGTGGCAGAATGATTTGCTTTCGTACCTATTGTGATTACCTTGGCAGTTCTGTATCAGATACCCTGATTTACTAGCCAAGTTAACAGGTACACATCATTTGCTTAATAGCTGAAGAATGATAAAAAATACTAAGCAATCTTTCACCTCAGCTTCTAATCCGAGATCATCTAAGGTTAAGGGGAACAGACTTTATCCTGAGCACATGAAATCTGTTCTAAACACTCACTTCTGATAAACATTTCCCTCTCCTCTTTAACTGTCCAAACACGCAAACTATGTTTTAAATGAGCTAAGATGTAACCTAACACATCACCTGCCATCTCTCCTCTCTTCCAGGTACTCAGGCATTTGGTGGCCCCGCGGGTTCCTTGGTTCAGAGGTATGGTATTTTGGGGTTCCCCAACTCTTCTTTTGGCTCACGTGTGGTGTGCTCCCATTTGGAATACCAGAAGTCTTCCTAGCTAAAACTCAAGTGTGTTAATCAGCCCCTTGTGCATATTTTAGACAATATATGTAAAAATTGTTTGGTTTAGGTCTTAGCTCTAACAAGGCTTTGTTCACAGATTAATCCATCAGACTGTTATTTAACCCAATGAGTTTAACCTGAGTTATATTTTATACTAGAAGTAGTAGTTTTTCCTCCCTTTGTCACGTCTGTCTGTATTTCTTTAATGATCTTTATTTTCTGTGTTCCTTTGCATCCTTGCAAACTGTACAGAGATTATCTCTGCAATGGATTTAATTCCTTATTCTTCTGTAGAAACTGAGGAAGTCATAAGCTGATACATATAAAGGCAGGCAGAAAAAATAATGACATCCACAATATGTGTAACTGAATATAAATAACCACTGCACTTTATTATTTTCTGTTGGTATTCTCATCTCTCTGGGGAGGCTTTACAGATGGTGTGGTTTCTGTTACAGACAGCCTTTTCACAGGGTTCATTATGCACCTTGCTCTGGAAGGAGGTCTCCCATTAAAAGATGTCCATCCCTTCTGCCTGCCCAAAGCCTGAAATAGGCTGCACGCTGACAATTAAATGCCAGGACTGATTTTATGTGCACAAAGGGACAGACTTTTCCTCTAAGCTCAGATGCTGAGCAGCTTATTGGTTATTTGGCTATTGAAGCAGCAGAGGGTGCTGTGGCACGCTTTGAGGATAGAGATAGCTTAAAAAAAGACTTCCTTGAAACATGTGGCAAACTGCTTGATTGGCATTTTGCCTTTGTTGCCTTCATGTGTGTAACACGGTAAGGCAATCCGTGCCCCTGCAGAATAACAAATGCATTTATCCTTTAAAAATGTACCACATTTGCCCTTTAAAAAGTACCTATCCTCTTCGTATGTGCTTTGGGAGAAAACACTAAAAATGAAACCCTGCCTCTTTCTTTTTTGATTTTAGCATATCTGAAGAGAGCAGCAGTGTCCCCTCTATTAAAAGTGGAACAAAAGTCAGTCGTACCTTCAGCTACCTCAGGAATAAAATGTCCAGCAGCAAGAAGAGCAAAGTAAGTGCTTTTTGTAATCTGTATAGCCATGAGAAACCTATAGGCAGCAAAGATTTAATTATGTATTTCAGTGTGTTTATATAGTGTGGTATTTATGTCTTCACCTGACTTTTCCTTTTGCAAGGGGAGGATTTTCTGTGTGGTCCTTGAGAAGAAAAGTGTGGGAAATTTTAGCAGCCCCAAATTAAAATGCATCCAAGGCAAAGGTTTCCTGTGCAATGTTTTGGCCTCTTTTTCCCTGCTGAATTGTTTTTCATTTTAGAGAATAGATTGCACTCTAGCATGAGTTATGGTTTTGCAGTGATTGATGGGTCTAATTTTTACGGTGCCTGAGAGGCATTTAGTAAAACGAAGACAGGAGCTGTAAAAAGGGACTGGCTACCAAAGGTTTATATTGTGTTTCTCCTTTTTTCCTACCTTTGTCACAAAGTTTCTACACACTGCTCAGTTGCTCAGACCATGACCTTGAGAGATGGCTATTGCTTATATTTTCCTCCATTTCTGGAGGAAGTGGGTTGAGTTTGCTGAAGGTTAAACATTTTCTCAGCACAGTCAAATTTCCTGGGAACAGAACTGGTTATAGAAGTAATTACATTAATGCTGCATGCTTCACAAAAACAGACTGCTTTTCCTTTAGATTGTCCCCTGAAGATGAATATATGTTTGGTTGTTTTGTTTTCTGTTGCTTGGATTTTTTCTCTTTAATCTTACTCCTATTTACCATGTCTGACAGATAGAAGCTATCTTAGCTCCTTAGCTCACAGCATGCAGCGTGTGATGCCTAACTACTGTGCTGATAAATCCTATTGGAAGGCGCCTGAAACATGTAACTACATCTTCTGATGAGAGTTTGAATAGCAAACAGGAAGCAAGTTGTGGTGTGATGCACAGTGCCTATTGTGTAGTTATGGGAGGGGTCGCAGTCTGTCTGTACAAACAACCTCCATGTACCATTTCCCAATGCAAGCACTTGGTCTTTCACCCTGTGCTCCTGTGATATAGGTGGGTTTGTGCAGTATAGTGGCATGGTACATATTTAAATGCTTATTTTTGGAAGATTGCATCACCACTGCAATGAGGTATCAGCTGGAATGACCTCAGTCTTCATCATGTGCAGTTCCTCTTTAAGGATCTGTCTTTAAAGATGTAAACTGCAGCTACTGACAGCTCCAAGCTGCTGCTGAAAAGCTTTAAGCCAATGCTGTTCTCTGCTGTGAAGTGCAGTGTCCAAAAAAAAAATGCTCAGAAATGTCAGTGCAATACACCAGCAAGAAGCTGTGGCTCATGTTGCACAGACTGTGCACGAGACTGGAAATTTATTCACTGGTTCTTGCAGTTTGGGTCTACCATCTCAAAGTCAAGAGCTAAATGTAGACAACAGGTTTTGTTGGGACAAGTAAGAATATATGACAGATATTTGCTGTGTCTTTCTGAGAATCATGGTATCACTAAGATTAGAAAAGACCACAGAGATCATCTGGTCCAACCACCGACCTGTTCTTAAATAAGTGTAGTCCATTTGAGTTCACTGAGTTCATGATTGTGTTTGAAACTGTCGCTAAAACTAGAATTACTCCAAACTGCCAACCATCATTCATACACTAAAAACTGCAGTCCATAGCAGTTCTGATGTTTTGGCTAACGAGAAAACCATGATATCCACATTACAATTTCCCTTCTGCTTTTAGTGAAATGTTTGTGCTACGTGCATTTTAGGACTTCAGCAGTACATTTAAATAGTTCAATGTAAAACTTCTTGGGAACGCAGAATTCTCAAACCTTAGGGCTGATTAAAACCTGCAAGATTTAAAAAGAAAAACAGCAAACCTTGAAAGAGGAAGTTGGACAGGAAGAGTTGGTTTCTGCTGCTGTCTGGGCTGTCAGCAGGGAGAGGGAGAATGCAAGTTCTTTCCAACTAGGTTTTGCTTTTCTCCAAACCTGGCTTCAGAAACGCATAGTTTTCTAAGATTAACCATAAAATAAAGCACTTTGGGGAATACTAGTGGCAGTGACTCTTCTTGAAAATGAGTTTTGGGGAAGTTCTGTAAAAAAAAAAAAAGGACATTTGGAGTATTAACTGTGGTGAAGATTTGTGTGTATTTACCCATATACTGCATGTTACGTAGGGATTAGTCAGTGAATCTCTTGCAATCAGCAGCATGCACCGCTTCACTCTTTTAAAGTCTGCAATGCTCTGTGTCCCCGTCAGTTAGCAAAACTCATTCTTCTTCCTTTTGGCAGAGAGTTTCTGGGAAATGACAGCATAAAGATTAGCATGAGTAATTTCTCCTTGACTTGCGTGGTTCGTGGGCAGCGTTGTACCAGTGCTTGGTTTTATAGCAGGGCCTGTGAATGTTTGGAAGGAGCCACGGGGCAGGAGGAGTGCAAGTATAGGGAACCTTCAGCGGTACTTTGTGTACTGAAGTACAACGTTGCAACACCGAGGTGTGTTCACTTTTACTTTTTATATATCCCAGACATCCCAGAGGACTTTTGTTTGACCGATTTATTTGCTTTTTAAAAGCAAGGCCCCTGACTGACTTGCAACCTCAATATTAACCCCATCCTTTCCTGCCCGTAGTTAATTTTTTTTCAGCAGTGGGGGTGGGGGGGTAGGGCAGAGCAGGGTGAAAGCAACAGCAAAGTAGCTCATACCATCTTCGAGGAAGTCAGCAGAAGTCGGCCCGCCCTCCTCCCCTTTTTGCTCAACCCTTTGCTGGCTGCCACCATGGGCTAGCTCTGCTGGGAGCAGCCCTTCTGCCCCGGAGGCAGAATGTCCATCAAAAGGCATCGATTTTCGGAAGTGCCCCTCGTCACAGTGAAGCTGGTAGGACTTAAGAACTGGGAGGTAAGAGTTTGGTGGTTATTTTGTAGTGGGCTGGCTGCTGCATTGCACCAGCCATTATTTTGGGCCGTCAAACCAAGGGTCTCTGCCTGCAGTATCTGTTAGTGTGTGCTGGGATAGCATTTCAATATCCTCAGATTCACCATAAAGTGGAGCTTTGAATCGCGGTGGCAGCACTGATGGAGCAGGACAGTGCTTTTATTAGTACAGTGCATTAGTTTATTAGTTTGAAAAAAAGTAACTGTCAGAGCAAAAATAAAAAATAATCTCATTTTGAGACACGATTTCAGCATTATCACTCCATCCGTGTGCAAACTTGCTGTTTGCTCCTTCAAGGCGGTGCACCACTTCCTGTCTCTTACCAAGTAGTTGAGCTTAAATTGAAATAATTCTCACAGTGATTTTATGAAGAAAGAATGTTATTCCAGACTGCAGAATTACTTGACTTTGCAGTAAGCATTGGGCACGTTTGAAGCATAGGATGGTGGATCTCCTTTCAGCGTTGTGAGTGGAAGCAAGGTGTGCCTGGAACGTTGTGTGATTCTCTGTCCTGAGGCTTCACAAGTCCTGGCAATAGTGCACATCTCTGGCAGTCCTTTTGGTGCCATCACCAGGAATTTAGCTGCAGTTTTAATTCTTGAATGAGGCTGGACATGATGGGAGGTGGGCAGGTCAGCCAGTGGAGAACGTGGGATGGTGATGGCTCAAGGAGGCAGAAATGTCTACAAAGCATATTTTTCCTTGCAGGTTTTCCCCTTCAGGCAGTTATTTCATCCTTCAATGCTCTTTTTTTTTTTTTTTTTTGCACTATAAAGTTGCATTTGGGATCTGTAAATAGCATTTGTGTCTGTGAGGCTTTGCAGGAAGAAACTGGGCTGTGCTGGGAGGAGGAGAGGGCAGCAGCCTCTATGCTAGAGGCTAATTATTACTAATTACTAATTATTTAAGCATCAAAGGCACAAAAGTTTCCCTCCTGGTGGCTGCAGACCTCGATATATCTCTTTTAACTGCTTCTTGGCAGTTGCTCATACAGAGAGCTTTGCAGTTCTCCAATATTTAGGTTCCTCTTGTGAAATATTTAGCAAAGGACGCGTGGCATATAAGTAACAAAATGCAAAGTTAAGCTCACAGAAGCATTTGCCAGTTTCAGGTTGACCTTCTCTTAGAGATGCCATGAAATGTTCAGCAGTAGTTGAAATACAGAGTTGGAGATGAATAGCAAGAACAACGTTTTGTGTATAGAAATATGAGGAGTCACTATAATTCAAATGTTGAGTTTCTCTATGGAGTTTCAGATAAAAATTAGATGACAGGCTGTGTTTGGGAGACCTCTAAATCCATGGAATGTCTCAGGGGACATTTCTCACGCTTTTAGTAGTTAGCAAGCTTCTGTCTCAGGTAGAGATAGAAAGACTGGCAAAAACTACTGCAAATCAGAGAAGCTGTCTGTGCTTACCTTCTTTCCAGAGACGGTTGAGTGGTGGGGTGGAACTGTGGCTTCCTGAAGACAAGATAATCTTTTTCTGGTGTTGCTATTGTTGGTCTGTCTGTAATGCCGTATTTTGAGAGTTTTGCGATGAAAGATCATTGGCTTTGTTTGTTTGGGGTTGTGTGAAGCAGTTGAAAAAAGCTGTCCCTGCTAGAAAGAAGGTAAAAGCAGGAAGAGAGAATCTGGCAGTGGTGCTCTGCTGTTGCTGTAGAAAGGGGTTGCTTTCTCCATGATACATGCAGTGCAAAGCAAGGGTCTTAGAACTAGCCTTAAAAATTGTTTTGCAAGTTGGACATGCATTGTACATGGCATATGTGGTATTTAATAAAGTTCATTGAAAGTTCTGAAAGCCCAAATGAAGAAAAAAGGTAAGTCATTAACCCAAGCAAATGTAAGAAGGCAAAAGTGGACAAACACAGCTGCCTTCAGAGCAGACTCAGTTTCATTTCCTTGAATGAGATACCCGTCCAAAGGGCTCTGCAAATCAGTAGTATGTAAATCTATTTCTGTGGGGCCCTAGGTGTGTTTTCTTTTTAGTGGAGAGCTGTGTAGGCCATTGTTACGGTGTGCACCGATCGATGTCGTCATAGTGCTAAAGGCAAACACTGAAGAATTTATAACTAGAGGAGAGACCTCTGCAAAGTAACGAGGCGTTCATTCTTTTTCTTGTGGCAGGAAAAAGAGAAAGATAAAGAGAAGACTAAAGAGAAGGACAAAGATTCCAAGGAAAAGGAAAAAGATAAGAAGATGTTAAATGGACATCTCTTCACTGCAACCTCCGTTGTAGCCCAAGCAATCTGTTACCACTGTATGAAACCTTTCAATAAGGATTCGTACTACTGTGCAAGTAAGTTTTGTCTTCCTTTCTGTTTTTATTGTGCATTGAATCTGAATTGGAAAACATGAACCCAGTGCTATACTGTTGTCATGTTTAAGCAACGGTGACGTGGGGCAGGAAGGAGTCTGTGGAGGTGGTGATTCATGTGGTAATGACTTCTGGAAGCTGCGCAGAAGTGAATCACGGCCACATGGAGTTGTCCTGCAGCCTCCTGCCTAGCTCCTGCTTGGACATGGCAACATCCTCTGCTTTGTGAGATGTATCAGTGAGCTGGGGGACTTGGGTTATTTCAGCTGTGTGTTTTGGGTTGGGGCTGAGGTGCTTTGTTAAAACTGATGCTGTACAGAGAAAGCTACCTTGGATCAAAGCTGTTATTTCCAGTGGATGTCCCACCCATCAGTAGTGTATTGCTGTGTGTACTTGAGTAATCTGAAACACTGCTTCAGTGAGCCCTTAATGAAAGCATAATATAAAAAGGAAATGCTAGCATTTTTCTCCATTTCAATGGAATGCATCACCAATCAAGTGACGTGTGAATTACTTGTAAGATAGTGTAAGCAGCACAGCAACTGCATCTTTTATTAGTACAGTCCTGTTTGAAAACAAGTAACTCTCGGAGCAAAAAAGAAATGGGGTTTCTATGAGCTTGGACATTTTTTCCTCATTTCTCATCATATGGCTTCTCATGCCTGCAACTGGTCAGGTCAGTGGCATTTGTGTGGTCACAACCAGAATGTGACCAGTTCATTTGGTGACTCAGAACTGCAGAATATGTTCTCACTGCAGCTCAAGACTGTCAGTTTTTCACTATGAGTAATATATTGTCTCTGCCTGCCTAGAGATGAGGCAAAGCCTGTACCAGCATTGCTCCCAGGCTGGGGCAGAAGGCTCTGCCTCTATTTGTTCACGCTGATCGTGCATAAAACATCTTAAGTAGGAAGGGGAAGGGCAGCTAGCTGAATCTCAAGAGGCAATTTGAAGTTTCCTGAAAGGGAAGAGATTTCATCAAACTTGTTTGCGTGAGCAATGCTCTGTGTCTACCTGATGAGAGGTGGAAAGCAGCATCAATTACAGGCTTTCAGATGCATCCTTTCCCTTTCCTCACTCTACCTTTTTAACTCTACTTTAAGTCACTTAGAAGACGTATCACAATTCATCTTTTATGTCCTATTTGTATGTGGTGAGTTAAAATAATCCAACAACACCGTGTAGCAGCACGTGATTTAGTAGAGACGTTATTTCATCGTTTTTCAAGTTTAAATAGAAAATTATTGCATTTTTTTCTGCATTGCCCACAAAATGACTGTCACAAGGAAGGTTTGGTCAGAGCTGACTGTTACTCTGTACATCTGAGTGTGGTCTGTTGTCACACCACATCCTAAAATAAACTCCTCGATGCCTTGAAAATAGCAGATAACCAGCAGCAGAGGCTCCCTAGCTTGTGTACATTTTGTAGTACATTTCTTTTCAGCAGCAATGACAGTGCTGTCATTATTGATGCTGTCTCACCTGTAGGTGACTTAATGGTTTTCCAAGGATTGACTCATTGTAAGTCAACATCTGAACCTTTCAGTGGCACTCTCTCTTCATGAATAGCCAATGCTGAACGACTTAGTGTGCTCTGGAATGAAAGGGAAATAATTTTTTTAATAGGTCTGTGTGTTGTTTTTTGTTTTTTATAATTACTGATGCAGCAAAGAGGCTGTTGGGGTTTTAATTATTAATACCACTGATAGCAAGGAGCTGGAGGAACTTCCTGTCTGCTGAAGGGTTGAGTTAGCTGGAGGAATAAAGTCCAGATTTTTCATCAGAAGCATGCCATGATAAATGCAAAATGCCTTACTCCTAAATAAGATGCTGTAAGGTGCTGACTTCAGGTTTTCAAGGCTTGAGTTTGAATTTAAGGCTTCTGAATTGTCTCCGTGCCTCTTTTCATTTGATTTCGGTGTCAAATACCAGAAGTGAGTTCTGTTCCTCTTCTTTGTTTGATCTTAACAGTGATATTGCTTGTGGGTTTTTGCAAGAGCCATGTATGTTTCTGTCTGTCATATACACAGGAAGTTGTGGGACATTGACTAGAACAGCAACACCCTAAGCCTTACTCTTACCTTTCACAAAATATCAGAAGAATTACTGGCTTTTATTAAGTAGGCCTAAATTTAAGAAATTCTAGCAATGTGAGAATACAAGTCCGATCCTGGATATTTTTTCCTTTAATTTTATATTGCTTTTAGAAATAATTCAGAGCGGTACGCTTGCAATGTAATTTACACTTAAAACAGTCCATGGGCTGTGTTAGCATGTTTCCATGGATTTATAGAAACGATAGATTTAAAGTGTGGTGCTCAGTGCATTGAATGTCATGGTTTCAGCCCAAAGCAGTGACTTCAGTGTAGTTTTCAGTCACTGCCCCACAGTTGCTGTCACCTGGCAGAAGCTCCTGTTTCTTTTTCTGTTCATACTATCGTACAGAACTCAGATCTTGCCTGCAGATGTAGGCTGTGCTATATCTGGATTTAGGTGTATTAATTTCCCTGATTTTCCATGCCTTTTGCACCCCATTGTCGTGGTCTTGATAAGAACAGTCTTTGTATTTGCAGAGATGATGTTGGCACTACCATTGGTTTCTGTTTGTCTCGTTTCTGCTTTCTCCCGTACTTTTCTTTCAGAGGAATAATTCTAGTCTGTTTTCTTCTGACAGACTGCAATGCAATTGTTCACAAAGGCTGTAAGGAGAGCTTTGCTTCCTGTGCAAAGGTGAAAATGAAGGTTAGTGGTATCATCTACTTTACTGAATTATGAGAAGGAACTGTAAGCGATTCAGTCTGCAGATATATACCATCTCAGGGTGGTCTGCAGTGAGCAGCAAGGACAGCAGCAGACCTGGGGAGGAAGTGATGCATAAAGAAACTGTGAGGATATCCAAAATCTGAAACTAGATATTCCCAGAGGAAACACCATCCTTCCTGTGCACATGTAATATGATCAGTGCATATGATTAAAGAAAGTTTCTCACTGGCAAAACTTGAGGTTTGCCCAACGCTCATAAATGCAGCATCTCTTCATTTTTGAATACTACATCCTTTTATGCAGCATTACATGCATACATAATGCATGATGAAATGTATTAAATATGTATGCTGTTTATATGAGGGATATGCAGAATCTGTGCTTGTTCCAAATGTGAGGAGCCTCTTCTGCAGCGTGACTCTCCAAGCCAGTTACTGCTTGTACCATTACAAGCTAAGAACACCTCCTCTATTGTTCACTTCAGTAGTCAGCCCTTTCTCTTTCCATTTTACTGTTATTTTACTATTATTTTTGCCCAGTTCATATATGGCAACAACAGTAGTTGCTGATGCTCCATTATATACTATGCATATTGGAGAACTGCTCTGTTCTGAGAGGATTCGTTAAGGACATGGCTTTGTAATTGTAGTTATGTAGCACAACCCCATGGGAGAAATGAGGAAAAATTGAAGTGAATCTCCTTTTTCTCTCAGCCACAGAGAGGAATGCTGCAGGCACATGATACCTCTTCGCTACCCACAGTGACCATGAGAAACAAAGGTAAAGTTTCCTTTTTCTCCCTTTTGGTGATGGTCTCTGTCTGCTGTTGTGACTGATTAAGCAGATAGAGCAGGGATGAATGCATCTTCTCTGCATGGTGAGCACTATTTGAGACTTAAGAACTTCAGCTAAAGCTGCACAGATGGTTTAGTCTTATGTTTTGAGGTAATAAAAGTAAGAAGTTAAATTCTGAATAGGAGCAACACTGACAAAGTTTGTACGGCTGCCCTGAGGTGTATGCTGTGCTGCTGAGCTACCCAGAGGGACAGGTGGCAAAGAACTGGAATGAAATAGCCCACATGAGTTTTGGAGCATTGTAATTAGATAAGCTCAGTTAGTGGTAGCTTGCTAGATCACTGTGTAGTATCATGCTGTATCATACATTCACACCCACTGTGGTTTTTGTCATGAAATTCAGAGGAATCGCTCCAGGAACCATAAATACATCTGAAGAAAGGAAAATTTAGAGTTAAGATGAAAGGATTAGTCACAGATATGTGATAATATGAGAAAAGGTTTAGTGTTACTCTGTAGCATATATGGATGGAAGAACTTACCAAAAGATGCAGCCAGAAGCAGGCGGATGGATATAACCACAGGATCTCCTTGCCCAGAGAAATTAAAACCAACCCAGTAGATTGCTACATGTGATTATTTATTGAATAACATTACATTTGGTTTCCCAAGTGTATGTTTTTGGACTTGAAGATTCCAGCCAAATCTTTTAGGTATAGTGCAGTCACTTCAGCAAAAAAGTCAATGTTCTTTCCTGCCTGAAATACAGCAGTGCTTACTTTGTTGAGAAGATCTCAGTCACTGCTTTTCTGCTGAGGAACACTGCTGGACTTCAAAGCAATCACAGTAAAGATCACAATTAACAAGTCCTGATTGGCTTTCTTATTGTACAGTAGAAATAAATTAAGCATGTTAGGTGTAAGGAGGATGAAGTCTCGCAGGTAGATCCGATCACTGATGCTGTATATGCATGATGGCTAAATTTGTTTAAAAGTATTTGAGCATCCAGAACTCAAGTTTACTATCTAAGACAAATTCCAGATTGTCTTGGGCAAAGCACGGGGGCTTTGCTTTGAACGGGTCCTGCTTTAATAGTACAGGAGTGCCAAGGGAGAGGCAGAAGGCTCAGGCTTCCCTGCAGTAAGGGCTGTGTCTAACAGCTGCAGATCTCCTAGTGGCAACTCTAGAGCCAAAAGGAAGGGAATTTTAGAACCTGCTTTCTTTAAGACTCCATCACTGCAGCTAGGAACGTAGTTGCATGAGCTGACTTTTCTCTGGTGCTTCCCTTCCAGGCTCACAACCCAAGGAGCGCCCTCGCTCCGCAATACTTGCTCCCGATGAAAACACCGTCACCTCAATATTCAATAACAGGAGATCACAACAGCCTACGGCGCTATCAAAGAGTGTCTCAATACAGAACATTGCAGGGTAAGGGTTCTGCCTGTGAGTACGTGGGGATTATCTGCTGTGAGCATGGAGAAGTTCAGATTGCATTAAAAATAAGTTCGTGTAGTGTGATCTGTGTTAAAAATACAAAAGAGAATCACAACACCAGAAATGCCCATATTATATGTGATACCACCAGCTGTCTTCTGCACAGTCAGACTGTCTGGGTTAGGTTTAGTCGTGGTGTGAGTTGAGAAGCATCTGAGCTGGCCTGGTGATATTAAGGACCACTTCACACGCTCTGGGATCCAGGAAGCCAACTGGCCGTGGGGTTGGAACTGTGCAATCACGTATTTTTTGCAGCTCAGGCATAGTATTTATTTTCGTGTCCATAATGGTAAGGTGGGTGCACAGAGCTGCAATCTTCACAACGTTTTAGGAGTGTGCTATGCATAATTAATTACAAAAAGTTACAGAAGAAAGTAAAATATATGGTTCCTATCCTAGCTGCACACTGAGTAATTCTACAAACAGAGCGATAGCATGGACTGGGACATTCTGAACAATTGGCATGCCCTGGCTATTCGTGGTGAAACTGATTTCAGTCCATTTTTTTGGATCTTGCTCAGAGCAAGCAGTACAGACTCCTTGGTAGCCTTTTGTACTGCATTTTTTCATGGTTTGCTCCAATAACAATGAGGATGGGAAGTGACAGTGTAAAATGAAAAGCAATGAAAAACAGTTACCCAAGCCATAAAACCTGAGGTGTGATTTTGTAGAGAAGCAGCACTGTCATTTAGAGCTGCATGTCTGGTTGTAAACAATATCTTCTGTTCTTCTTCAGGGTTGGAAATGATGACAGCTTAATACACACTTGGAAATTTCTGTCACAGTCCACGGACTCTTTACATAAAATTAGCCGGGTGAATGAATCCACTGAGTCATTAGTTGATGAAGGTAAGACATCCCATGGCACTTACAGCAGGAGGAAGGTCTCTGCTGCTTTCCAAAAATAGAAACTCCAGTTCGACATTTCAACTTCAGTTTTTCTTTTTAATGGACAATTAAAGTGCATTTAATGTAATGTTACAGTGATAACTTTAAAAAAAAGATGCCACACAGTAATTTCTTGTTGAATTGTGGGAAAACATATAGAAGCTTTCAGTTACAGTTGAGTTACTTGGAATTGAGCTTGAAGGCAAACATTTCCACTTTTGTTTTGTTCATACAGCCACATACAGAACATGCCTTTCTATGCTGATATGAGGCTTTCTGTTGTGGGGACAGAGGTTTGCCATTTGCAATGCCATCTTGCATTGATGGATGTAATGCTTTTAGTGTTCAGATCTATCTGCAGCAGTTCACATTTATGTTGCTTTGTGAAGGTGCAGACATGAATGAAGGGCAGCTGATGGGAGATCTGGAACTAGATTCCAAGCAGCTGGAGGCAGAGTCCTGGAGCCAAGCAGTGGACAGCCTGTTCCTACAGCAGCAAAACAAGGATGTTGTCAAACGGCAAGATGTAATTTATGGTGAGACATGCATGGATGTTCATTTCTCACTCATTTTAAGTGATTTCTTGATATATCCACATGCATGCATTTCAGAAACCTTATGTCAGTGAATAGGAATACTGACTGAATTCCTCAGTAGCCAAAGTATCATTCTTGAAATTCTTAGAAACAATGTGTTCTTTGAAAGCTTTGTCTTTCTGCCTTTCACTTACCTGTAAGCCATAAAAAATAAATAGAAAACACCTCTTCCTTTTTGTCTGCTGATGATGTTTAAACTCAGTTACAGCACAGCAGCTAGCTAGCAAGTCCTCTCCTCCCTGATGTAAAAACCATCCTGCATGACAGAAATTAACAATGATGAGTTTGACAGTGAAATGTAGGAAGAAGGTAACAGTGCTCAAGGTTCACACCTGCCAGTGGCTCTTTATTTTGACTCCCCTGCCCCAAATTTCTGCCACAAGCAAAGCCATTAATTGATATTTTAAACACCTGATGTGGATTTTTCTGAAGCCACTTAGAGAAGCCCAATTAGCTTGCTTGGAAGAGCTTCCTAATGACAGTTTTTTCATTGTACTGTGCACCCAAGTTCTCTACCATGACCTTGTCTTAATCCTATACAGAGCTCATGCAGACAGAAATGCATCATGTCCGCACCCTGAAGATAATGAACGACGTATACAGTGCAGGGATGTTACAGGAGCTGCAGTACGATCAGCAAGTTGTGGACAAGATCTTTCCCTGCCTGGAGAACTTGCTGCACATACACAGTCAATTCTTCCAGCGGATTCTGGAAAGGAAGAAGGAGTCATTGGCAGACAAAAGTGAAAAGAACTTTGTTATCAAGAGGATAGGTGACATCCTGGTGAATCAGGTAAGCCGTGGATAATAATTGCACTTCTGAGAGTGTAGCTGGAAGCCAAGTGCTCCTGAGTTCTCACTCCTCCCTGCCTCCTGTTTATATGTGCTAGGCAGCTATACCCGATGGCACTTTTAGACGCAGACAAAAATCTCTGCCTCTGTTTTTTAAGCACTTTTTGCTCTTTTGGAGGAAGGTGTAATGATGAAAATTCATTTTGTTTATACTGTGGGAGAGAGAAGCATTTGCTAACAGGCACCACATGGTTTGACCTGTAGCCAGGAGGGAAGGCAGTAGCCGGCAGTGAAATGTGTGCAGTGTGTTTCTTGGCTGATGTACAGAGAAGATATTTAACTTAGGGTGGGTTCTTGTACTTTTCTTTATCTGTTTTCTCCCATTCTCTTTTTTTCTAACTTGCTCTCTTTTGGCTTTTAAACTCTGTTGAGGTGCAGTCCCAGATTTTGTGCTAAGTGTGAATGCAGTGAAGCCACAGACTCCGCTCATTACTTTCTGGAGATTTAATTTCTTGGCTTAGAGAGCTTTGTACTAATTTGTTTTCATAAAACTCTTCTGAGAGACTGACAGGAACTGCTGAGATGTTACACCAAGAGCTCAGTGGAAGTTGGATCTTTACATCTCTTGTCTTGCAGTTCTCCGGAGAGAACGCTGAGAGAATGAAGAAGACATATGGCAAATTCTGTGGGCATCACAATGAGGCAGTAAATTACTTTAAAGATCTGTGCTCAAAGGACAAACGTTTCCAGGCTTTTGTCAAGGTAGGACCTGGTGGAAGAGAAACAGTCAATGGGGAAAAATTTTTTTTTTTCTGTGCTCCATTGAGTGTTTTGCTATAAATTGAAATTTTCATCTTTGTTTCTTAGAAAAAAATGAGTTCCTCCTTAGTGAGACGCCTTGGGATTTCTGAATGTATCTTGTTGGTAACACAGAGAATCACAAAGTACCCAGTCCTGTTACAGAGGATATTGCAGTACACGGCAGGTAGGGGCCAGTTCTTTTCTAAGCATGCATTTGCTCATCCTGTATGCATTTCCAGGACCCTTTTTTTCTTAGATTTTCTTAGAATTGGCAGACTAATCCAGTCATTGCCTCACACTGGTATAATGGGGTAACCAGGTTTCATCTCTCTGTTTAGTGTTAGTTGATCAGGTGCCTTGCTTTCACTGGTGTAGTTTATGTCTAGCTAATTACAGAGGCAGCATGCTCAGATTCCAGAGTCTTCCCGCTTGCTTTTTTTTATAACAGCTAAAATACGTGGTTAGTTTGCTCATTTCATATCTACTGTCTTAAAGGATATTGGAACAGCTCCCAGCCTCAACCATACATGTGAAAGGTTTTGTGAAGCTCTCCTTAGGAGGGGGGAAATATGCAACCTGTTGGGAGAATATTAAACAGTTATGATGCAGGAATCTGAGAGGGAGAAGAGGAAGAAAGTAAAGGAAAAAGAGGAATGTCCACGAGGATAAAGTGAAATGGAAATCTTTCTCTTTCTGTTCAAAGAAAATGAAGTGGAACATGAAGACTTGACTCAGTCATTAAACCTTGTTAAAGATGTGATTGCTGCAGTCAATAGCAAAGTCAGTAACTATGAAAAGAAAATGCGCCTGGATGAGATTTACAACCGGACAGACAGCAAGTCCATCATGAGGATGAAGAGTGGTCAGATGTTTGCAAGAGAGGACTTGCGACATCGGAAGCTCATCCGGGACGGGCCTGTGTCACTGAAAAATGCAGCTGGACGGTTAAAAGGTAATGCTTCCCTCTCTGGGCACAGGATTGCTCCTCAGATTGGTATCTCCAGTATTTATTCTGCTCTGAGAGCCTTTGACAGCAATTTCAAATTGGATTTATTTTGATGTTTTGGAAGCAAGAAGTTTGTTTGTTTTCCAAGCTCCCAAATTTACTAATGACTTCATAAGGTGGATCAAGCAAGTTATGCTGCTGTTGTGAAATACTGTGATAAGCACAGGCTGCATTTGTATTTCTAAGTCACAGAAATGCCTACTTCTTCTATAGTGCAAGTTCCTAGCAAAAGCAGGTCCTATAGATCCCAGTAGGTGATCAGCTGGTTCTGATCCTTTGGCTATTTTGTGGTACTTCAGGTGGAGCAGAGAGAAATCTGGGAAGAACTTTTTCTTGCTTATTTTCAGCATTTTCCCCTCTTGCAGAGTGCACAGAAAATGTGGTGATAGGGAAGAATGGAGTCAGATGCTGAATGCTGCAGACCTCCTAGGGCTTTGAGTTCATTTTGCAGCTTTGATTAAAATTTGGTGGTTCTTTTATCCAAAACAGATCCTATCTTCCTAAAGCAGAATGGAAGGAATTACCGCGGGATGATTTCACTTTTTGGTTTGCATCCTGTCTGTCACAAGATTTCCCAAGTACATAACACAAAAACTCTTTGTACTGAGGGATATGGGTGGGGTATTATACTTGGTACTTACTGTGCAGCTTTATGCTATGTCATTAGCAGACTTGGAAGGCTGTACATGTACTTTGGGAAATGTCTGTATTCTGATTTAAAATCCTCTCAATTGCTTGATGCTGTGCTTCCTTCTCCCATGAAATAAAGATCCTGCATTTCAAGCTGGGCTCTGTTAGCTCCCCTTGGAGTTAGCAGGGGTTTTATTTGTCTGTGAGCAGAGCTAGTGGTGGCTCCTGAAGTCACTGTTTCCTGGAAAGAAACTGCGGCTGACAAATGTTGCTGTTGCACAATAATTTACACTCCCCAAACTACTCTTTGAAAAAGACATAAAACCCCCAACTTCCTGTGCTGATACTTTGCTCATGGGCTGAAATATTGATTGCTTGAGAAAACAATTCTGTTCTGTGTCTCCAGTTCTTGCTGCTATGCCATATCCTACCTGTGGGCAGTTCTGGAAAGCAGCCCTCCCACCCAGGGGTGTTCACAGGGCAGCTCTGCATTACATGGCCCTTCCAGCATCTCACCAGGAGTTGATCCCAGACCAGCCCTCATGCTCCACAGTGGCCAGTGTTGTTAAAAGATAAAACTGCTTAGGAGTGTGCTGCATGGTTATATAGCACCTATATATATATTTTTTTCCTTTTGCAGAAGTTCAGGCTGTTCTCCTCTCTGACATGCTCATATTCCTTCAGGAGAAGGACCAGAAATATGTCTTTGCCTCACTGGTAAGGTTTCAATCTTTTCTTCTCCTTTGCTTTTCTGTGTGAGGGTCCCTTGGTGTGTGTTATGCAGTAAAGCTAGCCACTGCCTGCTAAACAACTTCATTTTCCTGCTTAGAACATTTCTGTTTGTTGGGCAGCTCTGTTTTTTCAATTGGAAAACATGTCATTGTTCCACACCTCCCCCTGGTGATTTCTGCAGTGCCTTGGCACCGCTGATAATTGGCCTTTAAAATCCTCCCGCTACTCCACACACATTCTCCTTTTCAATTTGTGCAAACTGAAGCCATGAGCTGGGGGGGAGGGGAGTAATGGGAGAAGGCAAACGTTGTAATAACAAACCTTAGCAGAAGATGATGTTCTCATATATTATGAAATGCTATGGGGGGGTAGGGAACACCACTGCAGTAAATTCAGCAGAGCAGTGTACAGATAAATGTCAGAAGAATGCAGTTGTAATGCACCAAACCAAAACCTGTCGCTTTTGAATGCAGTCTCCTAAAGGTTGAGGCACGCTGATCTTCTACAGAAAGGTAGTCTGGTAGCTGACTAGGTCTGTTAAGACTGTACTTTGCAGACACAGTTTAGACTGGCTAAGCCTTGCGTCCTTTTGGCCCTTGGAATATTTTGGAAGTTGATAATCTGTTATTCCAGTTCCACTGGGGCTCCACACAGAGGGAGCTGATTTGCACAGAAGTCCTGCTAGTGATTTCTGCCAAGTCACCCAAGTGTAGCATCCTGGAAAGTGCACAAAGGCACCCACACTGCAGCAATGGGATATTTTAATCCAGGCAGGCTGTTTACACAGAGACTATAGCACACAGTGAGCACCCTCTTATGTACAAGTCTTGTCCATCACAGGAGTCCACTGTGAGCTTCTGAGAACAGGCAGGTTTTTGTGAGATTTGAAAGTAAGGTGTTATTCTGTCCTAGGGTGAGACTGTGAAGATAATATGTGTGAAGCAGCTGCTAGCAAGCTTCACTACATTTAAGGGGCTGTAATATTAATGGCAGATTCAAGAGTGTGGGCAGGAGGAGATGAGATCAAAGGTCTGCTGGGGATAGAGCAAAAATATGGTAGTTTTCAAAACCCCAAATTCCGTTTTAAATTACTTCCCTGTTAAAATGGACCAAAGTGAAATTGGTTTTCCTACAGGAATGATGGAAGAAAGCAAGCCCTTCTCTGTTTTGTGACCCCAGCAAAATGCTTATTTTAATTAGCCAGCAGCTTCAAAAAATGTTTACTGCCTCAGTGTGGACGTTGCACTGGTAGTGGACGTTTAGAATGCTAGTTCATTGTGAGGTAATTCTGCCCCTCCTCACCCGTTTCTTTCCGTTTGAAGGACCAGAAATCCACTGTGATCTCTCTGAAGAAGCTAATCGTCCGGGAAGTGGCTCATGAAGAGAAGGGTTTGTTCCTGATCAGCATGGGTGTGAAAGATCCCGAAATGGTGGAAGTGCATGCCAGCTCCAAAGAAGAGCGTAACGGCTGGATACAGATCATTCAAGACACAATAAGTACCATGTAAGCTACCAAGCTGCTCTGGAAGGGTGAGTGATGCACATGATTATGTTCTGATGGTTATTGAGATGTGTCTCTTTCATGCAGGGATAAGGATGAGGATGAAGGAGTCCCTTGTGAGTCTGAATTTGAGAAGAAATTGTCAGACACAAGAATCAGAGCGCTGAAAGGTAAGGAACTGCCCAGGACAGAATTACAGAGCTTGAAAAAAGTTTTCAGAAGTTTACAGTAATTGTTGCATTGGGTTTTGTGACCCTTTTCCATATGTGCACAGTTGAACTTTTTCAGGGAAATGAGGATCCCGCATCCAGCAAATGGTTGCAGTCCTTGTTTGCACCTCACCTTGTTTATAGCTCAGTGCTTTGTGCCTGCTGCATGCAGTTGCTGTGCAAGATTGCAGGGGCAGAGCTGTGTCACCACATTCCACTAGATGGGGCCAGTATCTCAGGAATAGCTCTCCTTCCTTCCCAAAGCTTTTCTTTTCAATCTTCATTCCTGTTTTCTGCTCACCCCCACAGAACAACTTCAGCAGAAGGATAGACAGATCCTCCTCTTGCTGGAGGAAAAGGCCAAAATCTTCAGTGACATGGCAGACTCCTCTATGCAAGAGGACATGCCGGGTTCCAGACTGCTCTTCAGAGCCAACACTGAAGAAGCACCAAAAGGAGAAGCCATTATGAAAACTGCAATAAATGAAGGTGAGCAAGTCAGCATGGCACTAAACAGCACTCTCACCTTCAGTGAATCCCTTGATTCTCAAGCACGGTGTTTACAGGGGCAGCCTATTTGTTCCCAGTGAATGAGTAACAGCATGGATAAAGAGATACTGCTACTCATGGTGTTGTGTCAGGGACAGATACTGAGGATCAGGAAAGGAAGCAGATATTGATGGCTGTTGAAAGAAAGCACAAAAGAAGTCTCAGCACAGAGAACAAGCTTGTGTTGAATCTGAGCTGAGGTCAGGGACAGCCCAAGATTTCATCCTTGTCCAAAATACAGACCATGCTGTCTTTTGCTGGGCTTTGGGCTCAGCAAGGTTTGGGGGGACTCCAATTCCTGCCGGTATTCAGGGTGTCTGCAAGGAACAAGCAGTCTGTTGGCAAATGCAAGGTTGAATGAAAACTCACACAACTTTTCAGTGTGTTTTTTGGAAAGAGTGAAAATTATTAAATGCTGTTGTAAGTTTTTGCAAGGCAGACACTTTGTTGTGTCGCTGTAGAAACATTTCTTCTTTAGTAGAGAAAAACATGTGAAGATAGAGATGGAAATAGCTGAGAAGCCTGAGGTGGTCTGTAACAGAGATTGCTGATTTTATCTTCCCAGTGGAACTGTTGCAAGACCTGGTGAACAGGAACCTGGGCAGCACCCTTGTGCAGCAACTCAGCAGTGCTGCCATTGACGAAGAAGGAGGAGTTGGTCCCATCTCTCTTCCTAAAAGGGCAGAAACTTTTGGAGGATTTGACAGTCACCAGATGAATGCCTCCAAGGGTAAGTAGTTATGTGCTCCCATAGCAGCATTTGTTAATGATATTTCATGTCATCCTGTCCTGTTCCTTCTGAAGGACTTCAGCAGATGGTCTGTTTGGATTACTCTACTCTTTTGCAATGCTAGTAGATAGATTAAATATCAGATTAGGAAAAAAGGTACAGGTGAAATGATAGTTGAGAACTTGTGGCTATGTGAGGATTGAACTCTTCACTCCTGTCTCTCTATTTTCTCTCTAAATCATCTTTCCTGCTTTACTTACATGCTGGACACAAACATTTGGCTTCATTAAAAGTACCTTCTTCATGTTCTTCTGCCTGTAGTTCTGATCTTCATCCTTCAGTTGCCTTCCAGCAGGAGACCAGTGCTGTTGCCTTTACGAATGATGATGGTACTGCTGTACCAAGCACCTTCCTCTGTCTGTGCTCTCTGTGCATTTGATTTCCACACACAACTGCGTGTGTTATTCCTGCAATTAAATCTCTCTCAAGCAAATGACTGAATATTCATTTCAGCTGCAGAGTTGGCTGCTTCCCAATGCTCTCTTTCTTTCCCCTAGTCATCAGAAACTTCCCTGTCCTCAAATTCCTTTCTCTGTGGTCTCTCTCATGCTCCCAATACAGCCAGTTTTGCTGTGCTAGTGTCTGTCTCAGCACTGGGATGTTGGACCCCGTCTGACCTTCTGCATTAAAGGAGCAGTGTTAGCTCCAGACAGTCAGACATGAGAACTATGTAGAGATTTTCCCGGCTATTGGAAAGCTGCAAAGCTCTCAACAGGCCTTGTCATCATCGTGACAAATATATTCACGCTGAGGGCTGGAGGGGGTTGGTTGTTCAGGGCTGGGCCTCTTTCTGTTGTAGTGATGAATGAATGGCACAACCTCAGGCTGTTCATTGCCCAGCACTCTCCCCCCTCCTTGCTTTCTGTTGCTTGTTTTTTGTTTGATGTGTGATTTTTTCTTTTTTTTTTTCCCCTAGAAACTCCATCTTTTGAATTAGATTGTAGTTCAATAGTTATAGGGTCTTGGGAGATGTTAGGAAAATAAAGCATGGCCTGTTTATTCAGCTGTGGAAGGTCCCACGATGAGTTGCAAAAAAAAAAAAAGGTCTGTTAGGAGGGTGAGGGTCAGTCTTAAGTAGCAAAGTCTGCCTCAGAAGGGTGGTGAGAAAAGAGGTCTGTGATGGCTGCAGCCCTCCTGGCTCCATGAGTCAGTTCAGTGCTTGGGAGCAGTGATAGGAGCCATGCAGGGAGAAGCTAGACAGAGATGTCCAGTATCCCTTTGAAGATAGGGGTTTCTGATGACTAAGACTACTGAGGAATTGTTAACATAAAATCACACAGCAGTATTGCACAGCAGTCTAACCCAGCTGTAAATTACATTTGGACAGAGAGGCACTGAAACTGTACCTGCAGTAATACACTCTGAGATGATATTGCTATTTTTCTCCATCTGCTTTTGTTCTGCCTCATGACTTGTTAGCAAATGTGGGTGGTTTTTTGTTTTTTTTTTTCCAGAAAGCACTTTGGGGGCTAGACAGAGCAAAAGTTAAAGGTGTATGTCGAATTTATCAGAACGCTGTTTGAAACCAAAGTCAATCTTTGTCTGAATTCACACATAGAGTGCATGAAGAAAGCAGACACATCTGGTTAAAGTGCAGAGAGCTCTGTGGCCCTTCTTGTGACACATCTCAGTTGTCTGTATGAAATCTCAGATACTAGCAGGTTCATCTGTGGCTTAAAACATTGAATAACCAGCGTCAATGCTGGCTTCTTGCTTTAGGTGGTACGAAGGATGAAGGCGACGATGCTCAGGACCTACGGAGAACGGAGTCAGATGGTGTTTTAAAGAAGGTATTGCATGGTTTATCTGTGGGGCCACTCAGAGTTCAAGAAGGTGACAATTCAAGTCTTGAAAAAGGCCCAAATTTGTTGGCAAGGAGCTGTATCCTAATAATATAAAATCAAATTGGAAGTATGGAGTCCAAAACACTGCTGTAGTTAAAATCCTGACTTGAGAACCATTTAAAATCAATAGTACTCCTTTGTGGCAGAGGTTGTGCCATCTGTCTGCAGATCAGCTGAAGCATGTGTTTAATTATGCGTCATTATTAAAATGACAGGGTCACAAAGAACCTTGCACCTATTCTTCCTGGGGATCGATTCATCACATAACTCCAAATGATACCTAATTAATACGTGATTTGATGCCATTCTAACTCACCTGAAAACATACATACGTCCCAGAATTGAACGTGGAGGGGAGGGGGGTTAATGTGTCTGTCGTTAGTTCATTTGTTACGATTTCTCATTTGTCCTCATATTAAGTGTGATCTTTTCACAGGCTGGAAATGCTAACCTGATGTTCATATTGAAAAGGAACAGTGAGGTAAGAATTGATTCCATTGCTGTTTTCTTCATTTAAGTGATAAGTGAATTTGTCTCAATAGGTGATAATGTAAAAGAAAATACATTACTTCAGCTTGAGCACACGTGGACTTTTAAATACATTCAGCTGAACCCACTGTGTCGTTTATTTGTTTAACCTTGGATGTTCAGACAGGGAATTTGCTAATTGTCATCTGCTTGCCAGCGGGATGATATGTGCTGATTATAGGCATCAGGGGTTAATTACCACTAGGATGTGCAGGACTGTATTTATTGTGCATCTGCAGACAGGAGGAGTTTAATTTTATGTTGCAGGTGCAGTGATTTGGGGCAATTAGATTTCTATTCTCCCTTTGATACACATTCATAACTCCAATTAGCATTAAAGTCAGAACAAGAAGCTGTTCTCTTAGCACTGGCTATAGCACCAATATTGCAAACACCACTGTGTTTTTCTCTTCTTATTCTGTGTCTTTTTTTCTTCTTCAAGAGGAGAATATATGAGATTCAGACAACTTTTTAGCTGGCATTTAGAGCATTACTCCAGAGTGTCTTGCTCTTGGCTACATGGTGATGCACCGAGTGTTTGCATGTACCTGTTTTCTGGGAACTTTCATTAGTATACTTGCTGTATCTGTGTGTCTCCTGTGCTACAGTTTTCCTGTAGAACGACAAGAGGATTTGTATGGGTCAGCCATACAAGAGTACCAGGGAATGATAGAATTGCTGCAGGTGATGAGTGAGAAAAACAGAAGCTATAGAGGGACGGCCATGCAGCTTGGACACAGTAGTGGGGTCACAGTGGAAAAGGAAGTTGATTTATTACTGCCCTGGCACCAAGTGGGGTCTAATAACAGTGCTTTTGTTTTCTTGCAGCAGGTCCTTCAAAGTGTTACCAGCCTCCGTAAGCTGCTCAGTGCTCTGCAGGTATGTTGCCCTCTCATTCTGCTACCACGCACTGCTTGCCCAAACCATGGAATGGCTCACCCTGGAGCCTTCTCCTCTCTAGGCTGAACAAGCCCAGCTCCCTCAGTGTGCCCCAACCCTCTGAGTATCTTCATGGCTTCTTCTAAACCCGCTCTGGCAGCTGCACACCTTTCTTGTGTTGTGTGCCCCAGGCCTGGACACAGTCCAAAAGCCCTTCCTCTTCCCCACTCCTGCATGTCCCAATACCCTGCAGCAGATTTGCGTTCAGCCTCCTGGCACAGCAACAGTAATCAGCTGCTGCCTGGCACGCTGCTTCCATTTGGGAAGCTGCAGGTGGAGGTTTAGACCTGGACCAGCAAAGCTGCCACTACAGCATCCTCAGCTGAATGCTAAACATGGTAGAAAAAGATGCAGTTTGGAGGTGCCCTGATTGCTCAGATGCGGAGCTGCTCATCTTGGAGTGGGCCCTGCAGTGATGTCTCCCTCCTTCCCTCCCAGGGCGTTGTCCTACAGCAGGACACCTACATCGAGGGCCAGAAGCTGGCCTTGAGTGAGAGGGCTCTGTCCCGAGGCTTCTTCCGCCCAGCCTCTCTGCTGGAGCAGGAGAAGCAGCGCAACCTGGAAAAGCAGCGCCAGGAACTCGCCAACCTGAAGAAGCAGCAGGCTCAGCACCAGGAGGAGAAGAGAAGGGCAGAGAAGGAGTGCGAAGCACGGGAGAAGAAGCTGGCAGAGCTGGAAATCCAACTGGCCAAGAGGGAGGAGGAGATCCAGAAAGGGTGGCAGGAGCTGGAGTGCAGGCGGGATGAGCTGCGGCAGTTGAAAGCCTCCTACCAGCTTGAAATGGAGAAACTTCTCAGTAAGCAGAAGCAGCTGGATAAGGAGTGGGAACAACTCAGGAAGGACATGGAGCGACAACCTCAAGTGTGGTTGGAGCATGATGACAACCAGGTAAATGCTGCCAACAGGCAGGCTCTCACAGGGAGCTGTGCTCTGCTGGGAGCTCCCAGTCGGCTGCCTGCCCTGAGGCACCAACTGCCTGGCTTTAGCCCAGCTTCGGGTATGCAGGGCCTGACGCTTAAAGCTGGCTCTTTCCTTACACCTCAAAAGCCACTGAAGCATTGCTGCTGAGCTGTTCCTGCTTCCTTGTGCCTCTGTTTGGCAGAGGCATGTGGGGAGGATGCGCTGGAATGTCTGAAGTGTTGCCTTCCACATTCACTCCACATGGGTTTGACTTTGTGGAGCGTTGAGGCAGGTGAGGATTTGTTTTCAGGAACTGCCCAAACGTTACTGCTCACTTGCAACCTTTGACATAGGGTCGCCCTGTGAATGCCTTTCTGTTTGCAGATTGTGGGCTTAAGTCTGCCTCCACAAGCATTATCTAGCAGAGACAAGTGTTGTCTCTGTCCTAAAGAGGCCGGACATCTGCAGTCTGGACGTGGCCCAAAGGTCACTTGCTCTGGTGTGAGAAGCTTCTAGTGTAGAGCTAAAAATATATATATATTTTTTAGCATGCTGGGGAGAGTGTTCATCAGTTTGCAAAACATGGGCTGAGTTTGAACCTTAAGCCAGCTGTTGAACGTTTGTTTGTTTATAACTCCCTGATTTCAAATGCAATTTGCTTAGAGCTGTAACAAAATTAGCTTGTAAATGCTGGATTGCGGAACTGAAATTATTTTGGGTGCCTGAATGGACTAATTGCGGGGCTCAGCAGTAAACTCTGTAAAGCAAATCACCCAGGGAGTGCTTGCTCCTTCCCAGCCCAGCCCTGGTCAGGCCAGGAGCACACGGCACAGCTTCCTCAGCATCCATCAGCGCTGGAGCACGGGGTGCTATGGGAGAGGCTGAGAGGTAAAGTAACCGAGGGCTCAGGATCAAGGGAAGGAAGCTCCTTCTCATGCAGGCATCTCACTGACAGTTCAGAGCTATTAATAGAGGGCTTGGCGAGGCTTTGTTGAGCTGTTGTTTTGATCTTCCCTTTGAATGCGAGGGCTCAATTATACCCTGAGACAGACGTTAAGAAAAATCAGGGAAATGTTTTGCTTTCATCTTTCTCTTGGGAAGGCTTCCTTTGCCACATGCCTGGCCGGTGCTGCATGCTTCCCGGAGAGGCACACTCCTCTTGGCCTGCTGCCACTGTCTGTGTGCACTAACAGCGCTGGGTGAGTCGTGGTATCGAGATCTTAGAGAATGTTTGCCCTTGGTTTGTTGATTTTACATGTGGGAGTAAAAGATACTGGAGCGTTACTCCGTATGCATTGCTTGTCTTTCACAGAAAGGGCTTTGCCAGTATGGCTCTGCTTTGTAGCTGCTGAATGGGTGGTGGTCTCTGTGAGTGGTATTGGAAACATCTTTTCTCTCTCCAGACTTTCCACTACTCTCTTCCGTGCACCAGTGAAACTTATTTCTTTTCTTTCATAGGTGTCAAATCGACATGAGAAACTTGCAAGGGTTTGCTCCCAGTCCAGCCTCGAAGGCACCTCCAAGCAGAAGAGCCCCTCGTTTCCTAAGCAAGGGCACTCTGATGCAGAACTGTCTGTCTCCCCCAAAAGGAACAATCTTTCAAGGACACACAAAGAGAAAAGCACTTCCCATTTGCTTAGCACAACAAACCAGACTAACAAGGCAGCTGAGGAACATCCCCAGATGCCTACTCGCCTCTTCAGTTTATCCAAACCAAAGGAAAAGAAGGAAAAGAAGAAAAAGGGCAGGGGACATCGCTCCCAGGAATCTGGTGAGTGTCATGAGGTCACAGATGTGTTTTAGGGTCAATAAGCTGCAGTTCCCCTCCAGCCAGTGAACCTGTGGAAGCTATCTGGCCTTGAATGGAGATGGTAACAGAGAAGGACAGAGAAGATCAGATGTGATGAGTGAAATTCCCAGCTTCAAGTAACCTCCTCCGAAGCCACTGGGGTTGTCAGAGGGACACACTGCCTTTCTTCTCCTTCCCTTCCATGTCCTGTTCTGAGCAGCTTCCACATGCTGGCTTCTCTCTGTGTTTTTCAGCTTGCTCTGCCTCAGAGGGGATCATGCTTTCATGCTTTCAGAACCTACGTGGAATTTTCCGGTCTGCCTCGAGACCCTCCGGCAGCACTGCTGACATTTATAATTCTGTTCTTGTTTGTAAGCAATGCCCCCAACCCTTCCCATGCACTCTCCCTTCCCCTGAGCTGGTCTACTTTGTCTATTGATCTAAAAACTAAATGTGGCTTTTTTTTACACCCCCATAGTTTTTCATCCCCATAGCACTCCGTTCTGCACTTCAGACCTTTTGCCCATACACAAGTTGATCTCAAGCTTTCGGGTGACCAGCTGATACATCTTAACTCGTTCATGTTTTCCAGCTCATGTCCAGGAAATTCAGCAGTTTTCCTAACGGCTGTAATTTCCTGATAGCTCACTGGGAACTCGACATCTTTCAAGGTCCCCAAAGGATTGGGCAGAGAAACAGGGCTCCCACATATCTGAAGGGAGTCCCGCTCTGCTTGCTATATTGCTATATTCCCATAGTGATTCACTTGTTTCTTTTCCCCTCAGATTCTCATTCATCAGAAGCACCTCCAGAGGGTGAGGAGATCTTCTGCTGAGTGGGGACAGCTCCATCAGTCATTCTCAGCTTTCATACAGCGGACATCTCCCTGCCCGACCCACAGCACAGTGCTGGTGCCTGCACCTGACAAGCATCTGGAGGTTTTCATTAAAACGTTCTGAAAGTTTATCAAGTGGTGGGAAAGGGCCTCTTTCCTTGGGTTTGTGTGAGTTGTCACCGCAGAGGCTTCCCGCACAGCAAGTGGTACCATCTCCCTGTGCAAACCTGGATTCAGGTCGGTTGGGACGGATGTTTGCAGTCTGTTCGTACTGCTAAGGGATGAGAGAACATAGCCTTAAGGGGTCTGTGCCTTCATTTTCCCCTTTTCCGGGGAAGGTAACGAAAACCAAGCATTCAGAAAAAGATTAGGACTCTACAAATGGTGCGTACACACTGGCATATATAGATATACTGTACATACCCATCTCTGTATCTGTGTATCCACTGGGATATGCTTAGGTCTGTACAGCCAAGCTTAGCTCGGCCCGTGGGGATAGGTGATGCCTTTCAGGGAGCATTTGGATATCAAATATCTTGTCCTACTGCCCCAGCTATGACGCCACTGACCCGCACGCCCCTTGGTGCTCATGGTGTGGGTGCTGGGTTTCAGCAAGGCACTGCACACCGGGGGAGAGTAACAGTTTTCAAAAGAAAAAATCAGGAAACAAATAAAATCGAAGATCTCCACAGAGATTTATGTGGGGCGGAGGAGTTACATGTCAAACTGTTTCCAGAATCAAGCAGAACTTGGAGTGTATTTAAAGTGATGCAAAAAAGAGAAACTGGGGAGGCTTGGAAGGCAACCCTAGGAAGCCAGGACTGAAGGTCATCAAATAGGAAGAACGCTAAGCAGCTTTTTTTAAGCACTCTCTTGGAGCTACAGCTTACTCCTTCTCATGTCTTACATAAAGATATGTATTGCCAGGATCTATTTCTCCAGTTGTTTGACATCCCTTCAGGCAAGCCTGATGGCTTATGGGAAAGGTGGCTGGAAATCTGCTTTGAGGGACCTCGGTTCTGTTATTTGTGCTTTCTTTCCTCCACTCTTCATGTTACCGCTAGGCTTCTCTTCCTCTGGATTTTGTCAGCTGCTCCAGCTTGTTTCTAAGGCAGAGCACCAGCAGTTTCAGAGCACGTCAGTGAGATAGGTCAGAGCAGAGTGAACTCTGAGGAGACAGCTCTTCGGTCCCATGCCTCTGCAGCACTGTGCACTTGTTTCTGGGCAGAAAAATATATTCACATGGACAAAACCACGGTGCAGCAGATCCAAAGGCTGACATGCCAGGTGCATGTCCTTCGCTGTGTGAGCACATCTGTGTCACCCTCAGCAGAAGGGGAAGGTTTGAGGACAGCTCTCGATGCAGAATCATGGAGTCATTTCACTTGGAAACGACTTCTAGCATCATCAAGCTCAATTGTTCACCTAGCGCTGCCAAGTCTGCCTCTAAAGCAGCGTGTGCCAACAGTGAGGTGTTTATACAGCTGTGGAGTACAGCAGGGAAGAGGAATGCAGCAAGTCACTTCTGTTCCTTGCATGATTGCAAACCCTCTGAGGTCAGTTGGCCGAGTGGATCTGTGAATAGTGATAGGAAGTTATCAGCTCCAAAATAACTCAAAGGTTTGCTCCGAGTTGGAAGCTGCTGCGTGCATTTTCTTTCCTACCAGTTTTGCTTTAATGAAGAAAAAACAAAGCCACGCAACACAACAGTTCTTTAGTTGCACTGTCGTTTGATTTAGCTTCTCCCAAGCTAGGGACACACGGCAGTTCTCAGAGTTGGGTGCTGATGCAGATCGGCAGTGCTGCAGGTGAGGGGGATGCTCTGATGGTCTGTGCAGGAGCCCTAAGAGCCACCTGCTTGCTATTGAAGCTCTCTGAACTACTAAGATAAAATTTAAAAAAAAAAAAAAAAAAAAAAAAAGGAAGAAAGGAAAAGGGTTGAGATTTTATTTTTAGTTTGCTTTTTTTTTTAATGTTATTTGGTGCTCATTCTTAATTGCAAGCAGGGCTTGCAAAATTATTTATCTTTCTGTTTATTTGAAAGAGGTTTTTTTTTTTTAAGAAGTTTACTTGGTTTTATTTTTTTATTTTGCTTTTGTTTGGGGATTTGGGGGTGGTTTGATTATTTTTCTTCCCTTTTTTTTTTTTTTTTTTTTTTTACCCATTTTGTTTTTATTTTCTTACCAAGAGATTGGTAAAACCCAACATTCTGATTCCCTGCTTCCTACCCAACCGGGGTGTGGGCAGTGCTGTGCCCAGAGTTACATGATTTCAACTGAGAGCTTTCTGTAAGGCAGAGCATCTTTAGGCCAGAACAGTCTGGGAAGAGAATTGGTGACTTCAGACAAGAGTCCTATCAGCTCTTTTCTTTGGTTAAATATTTTCCTTAGGTTTTCTCATGCTTCTTGGAGGCAAAGGGAGAGCAAAACCACAGGGTCCTTCAGTGCTGTGAGGGCCTGGATGGATCTGGGCATCTCCTCTTGGCTGGAGGTGTTGGTGCTGTCTTCTCAGCAAGAACAGCACCCACTGAGCAGGTTATCTTCTGCCCCACTGTTTGCATGGCTGGGAAAGCACTTGTGCCAAGCTGAAATTTTTGGAAACCAAACCAGTGCATGGCTCATTTAGTGTTGTATAAACAGAGATCGGGTCCTCAGTGTTTCTGAGCATTCTCTGGAGTCTGTAATGGCCTTTGCCAGTCTGAGCTTTTCTTCTCATCCCTGTGTCTTTTCCCCTGCACTGCTTGAAGTCACAAAGCAGGGGTACATCCTGTACCCTCTGAGAAGGGCCTCAGTAGGGAGACCCAGAGCAGCAGGGTTGAGTCTGCCTGGTTTCAGTCCCTCTTCTGACATTTGCAACCCAAATCGAGCACCCAGGGCTCTAGCAGAAAATAGTGCTTGCTGCATGATCTCCAAAGGTCCATTTGTCAAAGATGCTGTGGTTTTGAATCTGAACTATCCTGAAGGGAAATACTGCACATCAAAGCTGTTTGTGTCTGACATCGCAGCGGGCAGAGCTTTGTCACTGGAGGATGTACATTGCTACATGACTCACTTTATTTGGATTGAAGCCTTTACTCCCACACTGCTTCTTCCTTCTGTTACCTATAGGAAGGTGAGGACTTGTTTTTACCTCTTCAGCCTTTTGTTTTTTTCCCACTCAGGTTTTCTTTGGAAATGCTAGGCATAGGTTCCCAGAGTCTGATTCCTGCTATGATCCCTGCAGGTTGCTTAATGCTGTCTGCTAGACTACAGCCTCAGTTTTAAGCACCTTTCCCAACCTTAAAATCATGTTTGCTTCAGGTCCAGTCCTGGCACACATCCTGCAGATGCTGAAAGCCTGTTTTTCCTTCAGCCCAACCTGATGTCAGGTCTGATTCCCAGAGCCTCGATCCCACTCAGAGAACCCAAACCTCCTCATCCCATGAGGCGTTCCTGGGGCATAGAACAGTTTTGGCACTGTCTCAGATGAAGTACAAAGGTGGTCAGTATCACCTGGGAGCACCAGGAAACCATGGGAGCAGGGAGCAGCTGTAGGTGTAGGACTTGGTGCAGGTGTGTGGGGTTTGCCTTAGTTTCTCTTAAATGATGTGATCATCTCAGCATGTAACTTTCTCTCAGTGTGATGCCTTAAAGCACTTTAAATGGAACTGGTTGTGTCACTTTTCAGTTTGGTTACGTGGAGACAATCAGCTGTGTAATTGCTTTCCCCTCTGCATGCCCAGCACAGCCCAAGCTGCACAGAGCAGTGTTACCAGCACCGGCCTGCCCTTGTTCTGGGAGGGGACAAAGGGCCAAGCATTTTGTATCATTATTAGACCAAAGTGGATGTGAATGTGACTACAGTCCCACCACAGGCAGGGTGAGCCCTTTCCCCACGGAAGAGCCCAGCAGCCATTTGCTCATGAAGCCCCCCTGGCCTCACACCATGGCACTGAGGAGCAGTCATCAGGAGTGGAGCAGTTGGCTTCTGATGTCCTGGCTGTGTCACCCTGTATGACCTCATGCTATCACCACCCTCCTCCTCCTCCTCTTGGAGTTTGACCGCTGCTGAAAAGCAATGCCATGAGCTTGAGCGGGTTTGTACAGAGGCAAGAATATCTGTAGAGCCTGAAGTCTTAGCACCTTCCTTGCTGCATGAGGATATCTCAGAGCTGTTAGCGAAACGCCCGAACCCAGTCCTTCCCATTGCCACCCGGTCGGGAGAGGTTCATCAGGTGCCAAATGCCGAGGAAGCTGTGTAGGGTGTCTGACACAGAGCAAGGGAGGAATGGGCAGGGGGCACAGGAGAGAGCATCTGCTTAAATCCAACAAAACATTCCTTGTTAACCAGAACTCTGGAAGTTATTCTGCCTGCTGGTCAGGTTTGGGAATTCAACATAATTTAAGGCACCCTTTTAAAGAGAAAAAAACAAACCTTCCCCTACTGCTCCTAAGTCTTGCATTGCTTGTCAGAAGGGGCAGCAATCAGCCATGAGTTCTTGATCTGACGATGCAGCTAAGTTTTAAAGATAGGCGAGCTGAACTGGACACACATCTGGCTCCTGGGGCATGGGAAGCACAGCATCAGCTCCCGGCCCACCTGCATTTTGGGGCTCAATGCCTTTCCTTCCACACGCATTTCACTGACACTGATGCTTTGCCCAAATATATTCTGCTTCCTTCGCTTGGGGGCTTGGGGGGCAGGATGATGTTCACTGCTTGGCCTACAGCTGTGAGCTTTGTTTGTATTTAAGCTGTCTATAGGTATCAATCATTTCCATGCTCTGAAGTATTTTATTGTTCTATCAATATTAAATGGTGACTCAGAACAAAAATAATCTGACATCCAGTTCAGTTCGCGTATGGTTAAAGTTTAGCCTGGTGTTTGTTTTGTACTAATATGGAATGCACTTGAGTAATGCCCAGAGCGTTAGGAGGTGTATTACAACAACCCCATATACCTCTGCCTTTGGTTTGTTTCTTAAAAAAAAAAAAAAAGAGAGAGAGATAAAAAAAATATGCTTTGCATTTTCATGTTGAACCCATAAAAAGTTTAAAAAAAAAAAAATTAAAGAGAGAGAGATAAAAAAAAAATATGCTTTGCATTTTCATGTTGAACCCATAAAAAGTTTAAAAAATAAAAATAAAAAAAA